CCAGTTCTCGAAATAAAATTTCTTTTATGTGATCAAAAAGTTGTTCAAATCTTTACATTTTAACACGTGCACGCATTTTGTTTTCCAATTACGCCTATTGTTTTTAGCTGTTTGCTGTAAAAATTTAGTAAAACCGTAAACAACTCTGACAACTCTTCCACTCGACCACAGCCACCGCACTTTTTTTGATACTACGAAGAATTAATTTTGGGCCTTTCACTTGAAAATATAAACTCTTCTACATACGTGTTAGAGGGCTGGCCCTTCCGTTAGTCTTTTGGGTCTTCTAAACAGAAACACAGAGTCAAAAGGTCGGACATCGAGGAACATGTTCACTGGTCTCGTTCTTCGTTCCTAGCGTAGTAAACCGCATGTAATGACAAACGCAAGACCAGAAGAAAGGAACACGTAAGCTCTACATTACCGCGGAAAAAAATTGGTTACGGCAAAGTCGAAAGAAAGCAATGACCAACAGGACTAAAATTATAAACGCGAATTCACTTCACACTGTCAAATCGCTGCGAAGATGAGCTTTTTGTTGTTTTTCCCAGCCCCTTTCGCGCATGCTCGCTACAGTTGTCGAATGATTGACAGATTTCTTAACTGGGGCGATCATGGAAAGCCGAAAAGCGGCAAGATCAAAGGCCGTTGCCAGCCCCCCCTGGGTTTCGCTAACGCGTGCTTCGATCGTCCTGAATATTGAATGAGTGCAATTTGTATTGCAGAATTGTGAAATACTGCATTCTGTCGGAGGTCTGTATGATAAAAACAGCGCCTCATGGTACTATTTCACCTCAGATGTGATGTATAAAAAGTATGAAAGGTTGGTTTACACGTCCCCAGACTTGTTGGCAAGATTTTGTAAAGTAAACTTGTCGAACGCGAAAAATTCGGCCTGATTTGTTATCCAAGAATTTGTTTTCCAGGGTCAATCTACTGTGATCAAGAACCTTTATGGCTCTTAAATGTGATGGAAGATGATTGCTATTTTTTGGGTGTACATATAAAGCTATCAACTCGATGTAAAATGTTTCACTCTAAAATCACTTAGCCTTTCTCTCAAAAGTCACATGAATGTGCCTTCAACTTAATTTTTTTTGGATTACAAGTTTATTGTTTGTCGAGCGTTTTTAACATGAGCCTCTGGCTCGGATGATTGTGTAAACACTTCCCACGTCTTCGACATTAAATAAATCATTCATTCATTCATTGTTTGATTTAAATTAATTATAAATATATTAATGGGAGCTTCGCTTTTAGCCCTGGCTACATATATTTAGTTTATACTAAAACAGTGGATAATTTTTTTCGCGAGCTCCGATTGGCTACTCAATCAGTGAATATCCTGCACTATTCACTGATTCATCTCCAGTTCCTCCGAGCGAGTAGCCTGAGATCATGCCCTCTCCCTATTATCCCTTTATGTCTCTCACGGGAAGAGGGCATGATACATTTCTTTGTCGGATCACATGTAAAAAAGCCAGAATCTGGACTTTTTTCTGATTGGATAGGAAACAATTCGGACGATTTGCGCTGTTCCAATTGGCCAAAATGCCGCCATCCTTTAGTTGTTGTTGATTTCAGTTTGCATTTTTGCTTGCGTAATTATGAGCAGTGAATACACAGGCGAGTTCGTTATAAAATTTCTGGCGGCTCAGTTTTCTTGAATTTGAAGAATGCCTAAATAGAAGTTTCATCCATTGAAATATTTTCTATCTCATCATATACTAAAACAGTTGCAGTCAAAACTTCACCGATCATTTGAATGCAATTTGATAACGGCTACAAGTTACAGAAGCGACAAACGGGTTCACTTTTCAAATAATCAATTCATGAATGGAATCTTGACCTGGTTTGACTGTAATTCCTCCTTCAGAAACCATGCTGCGAATTATTCTGAGCGATCTTCGCCTTCACAACACCTTTCAGTTCGTGAAATATGGTGCTTCAGCCTATTTTTTTTTCCACCGGTTTCGGCACAGAACGAAGTCAACGATGTAACGAGCTTTAACCAGTAAATTCTCTATTATTTGTAGCTGTTAAATAAAAGTACGGCACCTCCAGCTAGCAGTATTTCATCACAAAAACAACACATTAATTTTTTTTTTAGGGAGCGCCATCTGAACATGGACATACTTAAAAATTTCCTTTTCCCTAAAATTGATTTCAAAAGAGACATTATTCGCGCCAAAATTTGATTCCCGTATGGTAAACGCTTATTGGCTAATAACATGACAGGTGAGGCAGACGTTAGATTATGTAAATTAGGGGCAGTTGACTGCTTGTTAAATAAATGTATCAGGCGTTATTTTTTTTTTCCCCTCGAGCCAAAGAGGCAAAGAAGCAAAAAAAAAAAAAATAACGCCTGATCTCAGGTTACCGAGCGAGCGACGCCAAACTTGCGTAAGTTTCGAGCAAAATGCCTTCTCGGTTTGCTGCCGTAACAAGCAAAGAAATTTCACAACTAATCAAACAAGCTGTTCCCGAAATACACGAAGAAGGTGACGAAGTTCGGGGTGGAAGTTTATACATACATACATACATACATACATACTTTATTTGAACAGCTCCCTGTCTAGGGCACTTCCGCCGTCAATACTGAGAACTAATTACATGAATCCTAATATGCTAAAAACTAAAAGTTACAAATTTAACAAATAATTACAGACTTTAGCCTTAAACTCTTTAACATCGGAAGTTTGCTTAATCTCGTTTGGGAGGTTGTTATACAAATTTGCACCCCGAAAAGCAAATGATCGTTGCCCTGCTTTTAATCTACAAATTGGAAGGTCTAACTCTCCACTGCCTCTAGTGTTTCTGCCGTGAATCTTCGAACGCTGAATAAATTATCGATAAAACCGGCGAAAAACGTTTTTGTTTACAAATGCAAATTAAGCTCAAGTCTTGCCTTACTTTATTTAGTTGACTTGTTCATAAAAAAGCTTAAAACTAAATTTAATAATCTTTTTTACAAAATGATTTTAAATACAAAAAGAATTCACAACTCCTTTGGAGGAAATTTCCGCGCAAGAGCTAAACAAATGCCTTTAAAAGTTTGATTAGTCGGCAAGAAAAAGCGACGACCGCGACCGTTCGGTCATTGCGCGCCAAAATTGTAATCGTTGCAGGCAATAGTAAATGAGTTAAAAATCATCATTTTTGTGCTCAATTATCTTACTGTTTTAGTATATACTAGAACAATTATTCACCTTAGTGTCGGTGGCTAGTGGTGGATATTTACCTCGCCGCTGACGCGGCCTCGGTAAATATATCCAACACTTGCCACCTCCACTTCGGTGAATAATTGTTATACCATAAAATTCCGAAAATAAGTCCCAGGGCTCATATTTTTTAAAGGCCCTTTTTGAGGGGCTTATTTTGGGAGGGGCCTATATTAGGAGGGGCTTTTGGACAGAGGGCAATTTGCGTTGTAAAATCGGTTGGGCTAGCTTGTAGTGGAAAGGAAATGTACCATTTTTGCTTTGTATTCGAGGGCAAATTCCAAGTAGAAGCCCCCCGGGGGGGGCTTATATTCAGAGGGGCAATTTAACGGAGGGTTTTTTGCGTTACGATTTAGGGGGGCTTATATTTGGAGGGGCTTATGCATGCAGGGGGGCTTATTTTCGGAATTTTTCGGGACATATTATGGAGTCTTACATGATATACTAACCGTTGATATTATGAAGTCTTACATGAGATAATTAGGGACTTTAAGATCCGAGACGCGACGGCTGTAAGACGCAACAGGAAGTAGATTTTCAAAGAGGAGACATGTTGCGCATGCTCAAGCCGTTGTCCTGGTGTCACCACGTCGCGTCGAGAACGTGGGTTTTGCGAGTTTGACGTTCTGCACAAAACGTGAGTATATTTGTTCCTGTGCTTGAATTAAATGATGGTATATTCCTCTAAACATGTAACATCAGCCTTCTAGGATCATTGGACGTAATTTCTGGCGACATTTTAGATAGCAGAGATGGAAGGATTTTGATCATTTTTAAATTTCTTTCAGGTCTACGAAGCTTATAAAATGGCAGCACCTTCGACTTCGACTTCGAGCGAGGCTTGCAAGTAAGTCACGAGCTAAAACTGGAAATAGTGAATGCTGGAGTCTTCTGCATACTCTTCTCGTCTCTTGTACCGTTGCAATTCTCGATTTATTGCGTTCATCTGCGGCTAAACACGAGGAGCCGCATGCAGTAAAATTTCTGTCCCGTAATTTAATCAGTTAAATCATCAAAGTTGACAGGTCTTTCTGGTGATCAAAGCGACCGTTCGGTTTACCATTTACACCTTTAGTGCGAAGACTGTCACGGGAACATTAACACCTTCAGGATAATTGCTTACCATAACAGTGGTAGGTCGCGCGCGTCTGGTCGGTTTCGAAGAACGTGATCGTGACTGTTGTTTTCATTCAGTGACTGTGCGCGTTGATATGCCAACGTTTAAAACAGACTCCAACATTAAATTTTTGTTATAAAAGCAAAGAAGCTGCTGAGTAGAAACTAAACCGTCCCAGACTTATTCCGTTTCATTCGTGTACTTTCATTTTGATGGGGTCTGATGATGAATTTACTTCTGCCTTCTAATCAGGCACGTAAACAACAGAGATAAAACATTTCATTTTGCTTTTGTGGAGTAAATTCATCTTAAAAAAGTTAAACTAGTGGACCACTTTCTCCGCGTACTTGTAAAACTAGGCATTTAATATGTCGCGCTACAGTGCGGAAATCTTCTTGTTGTGGATTAGATTTCAGTATACATATTCTTCATTTCGCGCCAGAATAAATTAGTTTGCGCGCAAAGGGCTTCTAAAAAAAGATCACAAGGTTTGTCCCACGTCGAGTCCACCTTCTAGAGATACGCCGGCACGGTAGCTGGAATACATTGCCGAGGCGAAGATCTGGCATTTTTTCCTCCTCGTCTTTTTTTCTTCGCGACGTTTGTTTATATTTGTAGTGAGAATGCCGCGCATATCGGTGGATTTTACTTCAGTCAAGCGGCTTCAGTTCCTGCGGCTTGCTACTCATCATAAAGAAGAGTGCCGGAATCGCTTTGTTCGCCTTTAACAGATTTGTTGTCGAATGCAAGGTAAAAGAACGGACTACTGTAAGGTAAGAATTGAAGTTTAAATTTGTTTCTCGGCGAAAAATATTGCATACAACTCGTGAAACCCGTGAGTATTAACTCTGTTTAATACACCGGATGTCATGCGATGACCCCTCGCTTTTACGATGGATAGGACGGATACAAACAATAATTTCTTTCGCAACGTTTAGTATCATTTACTTAATATGGAGATCATCTGAGGACGATGCTTCGTTATATATGCTTCATTTCTTGGCTTATTCCGGCTACGTGCGAAAAATTAGATGACAATGTTTGTGTGCTATAATTGTACTGATAATTTCTTGCACCTTGAAACTCATGAGAGCCAAACTTGTTTAACCCTGGCAAAAAACTCTTTTAATGGAGGAACTCAACCTGATAGTTGCACTAAAATCTAATAATTGTTACTGCATTTGCATGCTCTCTGTAACCTCGTGGGTAGAACATACCCGATGGTTACATTAATAATAATCACTGCATTTGCTCTCTGTAACCTCGTGGGTAGAACATACCCGAAGGTTACGTTAATGATAATCATTGCATTTTCTCTTTGTAACCTCGTGGGTAGAACATATCTGATGGTTACATTTAAAATAATAATCACTGCTTTTGCTCTCTGTAACCTCGTGGGTAGAACATACCTGAAGGTTACGTTAATAATAATCATTGCACTTTCTCTTTGTAACCTCGTGGGTAGAACATACCTGATGGTTACATTAATAATATCACTGCATTTTCTCTCCGTAACCTCGTGGGTAGAATATACCTGACCGTTACATTTAATAATAATCACTGCATTTGCTCTCTGTAACCTCGTGGGTAGAACATACCTGAAGGTTACGTTAATAATAATCATTGCATTTTCCCTTTGTAACCTCGTGGCCTTCACAACACCTTTCAGTTCGTGAAATATGGTGCTTCAGCCTATTTTTTTTTCCACCGGTTTCGGCACAGAACGAAGTCAACGATGTAACGAGCTTTAACCAGTAAATTCTCTATTATTTGTAGCTGTTAAATAAAAGTACGGCACCTCCAGCTAGCAGTATTTCATCACAAAAACAACACATTAATTTTTTTTTTAGGGAGCGCCATCTGAACATGGACATACTTAAAAATTTCCTTTTCCCTAAAATTGATTTCAAAAGAGACATTATTCGCGCCAAAATTTGATTCCCGTATGGTAAACGCTTATTGGCTAATAACATGACAGGTGAGGCAGACGTTAGATTATGTAAATTAGGGGGCAGTTGACTGCTTGTTAAATAAATGTATCAGGCGTTATTTTTTTTCCCCCTCGAGCCAAAGAGGCAAAGAAGCAAAAAAAAAAAATAACGCCTGATCTCAGGTTACCGAGCGAGCGACGCCAAACTTGCGTAAGTTTCGAGCAAAATGCCTTCTCGGTTTGCTGCCGTAACAAGCAAAGAAATTTCACAACTAATCAAGCAAGCTGTTCCCGAAATACACGAAGAAGGTGACGAAGTTCGGGGTGGAAGTTTATACATACATACATACATACATACATACTTTATTTGAACAGCTCCCTGTCTAGGGCACTTCCGCCGTCAATACTGAGAACTAATTACATGAATCCTAATATGCTAAAAACTAAAAGTTACAAATTTAACAAATAATTACAGACTTTAGCCTTAAACTCTTTAACATCGGAAGTTTGCTTAATCTCGTTTGGGAGGTTGTTATACAAATTTGCACCCCGAAAAGCAAATGATCGTTGCCCTGCTTTTAATCTACAAATTGGAAGGTCTAACTCTCCACTGCCTCTAGTGTTTCTGCCGTGAATCTTCGAACGCTGAATAAATTATCGATAAAACCGGCGAAAAAGTTTCTTGTTTACAAATGCAAATTAAGCTCAAGTCTTGCGTTACTTTATTTAGTTGACATTGTTCATAAATAAGCTTAAAACTAAATTTCATAATCTTTTTTACAGAATGATTTTAAATACAAAAAGAATTCACAACTCCTTTTGAGGAAATTTCCCGCAAGAGCTAAACAAATGCCTTCAAAAGTTTTATTTGTCGGCAAGAAAAAGCGACGACCGCGGCCGTTCGGTCACTGCGTGCCAAAATTGTAATCGTTATAGGCAACAGTAAATGAGTTAAAAATCATTTTTGTGCTCAATCTCACTGTTTTAGTATATACTAAAACAATTATTCACCTTAGTGTCGCTGGCTATTGGTGGATATTTACCTCGCCGCTGACGCGGCCTCGGTAAATATATCCAACACTTGCCACCTCCACTTCGGTGAATAATTGTTATACCATAAAATTCCGAAAATAAGTCCCAGGGCTCATATTTTTTAAAGGCCCTTTTTGAGGGGCTTATTTTGGGAGGGGCCTATATTAGGAGGGGCTTTTGGACAGAGGGCAATTTGCGTTGTAAAATCGGTTGGGCTAGCTTGTAGTGGAAAGGAAATGTACCATTTTTGCTTTGTATTCGAGGGCAAATTCCAAGTAGAAGCCCCCCGGGGGGGGCTTATATTCAGAGGGGCAATTTAACGGAGGGTTTTTTTGCGTTACGATTTAGGGGGCTTATATTTGGAGGGGCTTATGCATGCAGGGGGGGCTTATTTTCGGAATTTTTCGGGACATATTATGGAGTCTTACATGATATACTAACCGTTGATATTATGAAGTCTTACATGAGATAATTAGGGACTTTAAGATCCGAGACGCGACGGCTGTAAGACGCAACAGGAAGTAGATTTTCAAAGAGGAGACATGTTGCGCATGCTCAAGCCGTTGTCCTGGTGTCACCACGTCGCGTCGAGAACGTGGGTTTTGCGAGTTTGACGTTCTGCACAAAACGTGAGTATATTTGTTCCTGTGCTTGAATTAAATGATGGTATATTCCTCTAAACATGTAACATCAGCCTTCTAGGATCATTGGACGTAATTTCTGGCGACATTTTAGATAGCAGAGATGGAAGGATTTTGATCATTTTTAAATTTCTTTCAGGTCTACGAAGCTTATAAAATGGCAGCACCTTCGACTTCGACTTCGAGCGAGGCTTGCAAGTAAGTCACGAGCTAAAACTGGAAATAGTGAATGCTGGAGTCTTCTGCATACTCTTCTCGTCTCTTGTACCGTTGCAATTCTCGATTTATTGCGTTCATCTGCGGCTAAACACGAGGAGCCGCATGCAGTAAAATTTCTGTCCCGTAATTTAATCAGTTAAATCATCAAAGTTGACAGGTCTTTCTGGTGATCAAAGCGACCGTTCGGTTTACCATTTACACCTTTAGTGCGAAGACTGTCACGGGAACATTAACACCTTCAGGATAATTGCTTACCATAACAGTGGTAGGTCGCGCGCGTCTGGTCGGTTTCGAAGAACGTGATCGTGACTGTTGTTTTCATTCAGTGACTGTGCGCGTTGATATGCCAACGTTTAAAACAGACTCAACATTAAATTTTTGTTATAAAAGCAAAGAAGCTGCTGAGTAGAAACTAAACCGTCCCAGACTTATTCCGTTTCATTCGTGTACTTTCATTTTGATGGGGTCTGATGATGAATTTACTTCTGCCTTCTAATCAGGCACGTAAACAACAGAGATAAAACATTTCATTTTGCTTTTGTGGAGTAAATTCATCTTAAAAAGTTAAACTAGTGGACCACTTTCTCCGCGTACTTGTAAAACTAGGCATTTAATATGTCGCGCTACAGTGCGGAAATCTTCTTGTTGTGGATTAGATTTCAGTATACATATTCTTCATTTCGCGCCAGAATAAATTAGTTTGCGCGCAAAGGGCTTCTAAAAAAAGATCACAAGGTTTGTCCCACGTCGAGTCCACCTTCTAGAGATACGCCGGCACGGTAGCTGGAATACATTGCCGAGGCGAAGATCTGGCATTTTTTCCTCCTCGTCTTTTCTTCGCGACGTTTGTTTATATTTGTAGTGAGAATGCCGCGCATATCGGTGGATTTTACTTCAGTCAAGCGGCTTCAGTTCCTGCGGCTTGCTACTCATCATAAAGAAGAGTGCCGGAATCGCTTTGTTCGCCTTTAACAGATTTGTTGTCGAATGCAAGGTAAAAGAACGGACTACTGTAAGGTAAGAATTGAAGTTTAAATTTGTTTCTCGGCGAAAAATAGTGCATACAACTCGTGAAACCCGTGAGTATTACCTCTGTTTAATATACCGGATGTCATGCGATGACCCCTCGCTTTTACGATGGATAGGACGGATACAAACAATAATTTCTTTCGCAACGTTTAGTATCATTTACTTAATATGGAGATCATCTGAGGACGATTTTTCGTTATATATGCTTCATTTCTTGGCTTATTCTGGCTACGTGCGAAAAATTAGATGACAATGTTTGTCTGCTATAATTATACTGATAATTTCTTGCACCTTGAAACTCATGAAAGCCAAACTTGTTTAACCCTAGCAAAAACTCTTTTAATGGAGGAACTCAACCTGATAGTTGCACTAAAATCTAATAATTGTTACTGCATTTGCATGCTCTCTGTAACCTCGTGGGTAGAACATACCCGTGGTTACATTAATAATAATCACTGCATTTGCTCTCTGTAACCTCGTGGGTAGAACATACCCGAAGGTTACGTTAATGATAATCATTGCATTTTCTCTTTGTAACCTCGTGGGTAGAACATACCTGATGGTTACATTTAAAATAATAATCACTGCTTTTGCTCTCTGTAACCTCGTGGGTAGAACATACCTGAAGGTTACGTTAATAATAATCATTGCACTTTCTCTTTGTAACCTCGTGGGTAGAACATACCTGATGGTTACATTAATAATATCACTGCATTTTCTCTCCGTAACCTCGTGGGTAGAATATACCTGACCGTTACATTTAATAATAATCACTGCATTTGCTCTCTGTAACCTCGTGGGTAGAACATACCTGAAGGTTACGTTAATAATAATCATTGCATTTTCCCTTTGTAACCTCGTGGGTAGAATATACCTGACGGTTACATTTAATAATAATATTAATCACTGCATTTGCTCTCTGTAACCTCGTGGGTAGAACATACCTGAAGGTTACGTTAATAATAATCATTGAATTTTCTCTTTGTAACCTCGTGGGTAGAACATACCTGATGGTTACATTTAAAATAATCGCTGCATTTGCTGTCCGTAACCTCGTGGGTAGAGTATACCTTATGGTTACAATAATAATCATTGCATTTTCTCTTCGTAATCTCGTGGGAAAAAAATTAATGCCTCTCTCCTGGAAATTTTGCCCTGTCCTTTGAGCATAGTGATCTTTGGGTAGCGAATTCACGAAAACAGGTAAAACGCTTTTTTTAACAACAGCATTTATATTATTTGGCTTTTTGAGGGAGGTTAAACATTAATGGAATATAATATAAAAAAAGCTGATAAAGCGGAAAAAGTTATCTTTACAAAATGCGCTTTGACAATGTCAAGGAGTGAAATAAGCTGAAGTTTTGTAGTTAGCCCGAAGAAAACCTGTTCCTGCATGAAAAGCAGTTCTGATTCCCTTCTCTTAACTAGAAGAGATGCATATCCCCGTGAACCAGTTTTTTAACTAGGAGCGATTCCCACTCACTTAAGATACTTTATTGACACGAGTTCCTATTTCAATATATGTCTAATTCAAGCTTAGCCGCGTGATAGCTCTTCATTAGCGAAAAGGTCCAAGTGATATTTTGATTGACGTGTTGTTTTGGATCCTGAGGTTTTTTAACACCTTTTCTCTAGCTTAACTGGCGAAGATATTCTAGGAATTTGCCCTTCAATTCCAAATTCTTTGATGTGCCGCCAGATGCCGTGCAAAAATATCACCTCTTGCGGCTCCTCGTGGCCAATTTTAAGCCTGTATTATTTAATTTAATTTTATTAAACTGCGTGTGTTTTTATGCTTCTCTTTAGTTCAGTAATGTTTTGGACTCATGATCATGAAGCCATTCTATGCAGAGAAGTCGTCAATGTAAATCCCTACAGAACTAAGAAAGGGTCAACACAAAGAACTAGAATGTGGGAAAAAATAGCAGACAACTTGAACAAATTCACTGTGCCGAAATTCAGGGTTGATAAGCGATCAGTCCGGGACCACGTGGGAATCCTTGTTTACAAGCGTAAGAAGAAACTACTAGCGGAGGAAAAAGCAACTGGGATAACTCCCGATGAGCCAACGGAACTAGAAAACCTCTTGGATATGATCATCGCGTTGGAGGAAAGTGGCGAAGCGGAATTACAGGAAACACAAGGAACAGCTAGCAAAAAACGTCAATACGATCGGGCTAAAGTGAAAGATGTTAGACTAAAAGCGATGGAGAAGCTGTCAGAGACGAAGAAAAGAGGTTCATCACAGGATGAAAGCGATGACAAACCGAAGCGTCAACCAAGAAGTGGAGGTGATGCTATCGAACAAAGCACAAACAAAGCATTTCTTCGACTTTCTTAAATGATGCCATGGCTATTTCTGCGAAAGAATCGCCGAAGAATCAGACTGATAAAGAGCGGTTTGCAGCCGCGTCGTCTTGCATCGCGACAGAGATCTTAACTTTACTTTTCGCGCGCAAACGACGGCGTTCTACAGGTCCAGTCCTTTATCAGCCACCGCGTTCTAGAAGTCGTCGCGTCCCAGATCTTAAAGTCCCTACTAACCTCGCGACGCCATCAAAAAGCGACAAATCGCGGAGTGCCTTGTAGTCAGTACTGCAATTGTGGGTTTATACAGACAACAGCTTTGGTGTTTAGGTAAGTTAAATTGCATTTTTTACCCGTTAGATTCTCAGGAATGCTCTGTTTGGACAGGTTGCTGAGGAAATAAACCAAACGATACAATTTCAAACATCAGGGCCCGCCCGGAAAAAAAAAAACATACGTGCAGGTGTTCAGTTAGTACACACGAGTCTGTGAACGTATGTATAAAACTCAGAAATCGTTTGTAGGGGGTTAATGTTAGCTATTCAAACCTGATTTATTTTCTTAGATAGTGACAATCAACCCGTGCAAGAGAGGAATCTTCGTTACTGACAAGCATGAAGTTTAAATGAATTCGTGACAGCGGCCTATGTTGATATCGTTAGCGTAGTTGTTCATGACCTTCTTCCTGATACTACTTAGCGATTTTATGGTTCAAACGCTAGTACGTTCGATCATTTAAACACTTCTCAACCGGTTCACAGTTCTATTGTGAGCGTGAATTAAACATTTCGTTGGTTGAAATTACGATGTTTAAGCCAAACTTAAGAACTTCCTGTTTTTTCTAGAAAAAGAATAGCGCTGCGCGCATTTATTATTTATAGACCCAAAACTCAGACAAGCAAACGAAGTTAACAATAGCGAATCATTCACTTTTGTCTGCCTTTTGTCATTAAAATGAGAAAAATGACAAAACTCAGACAAAAATGGAAAAACAAATTTCCTGACCCTAGTAAGTTACAACAGGAAAATTAATCCATTACACGGCGCCTGTAGATCCATGTCGCCCGCAAAATCGCGGGTCTCATGACTATTTGCGCGCTCACAAAGGGAGCCGACGCATGTCGCGTCCTTCGATTCAAGACTCAAGTGTTAGGGTATTGTTTCCACGATACAAAGGTAATTTAACTTAAGAAAATCTATAGATCGAAGCTTTCGCGCAACTCTCTGTTTTATAAGGAAATGCAAACGCTCAACTTGATAAATATTTTGACTTCATAACATATTTTAACGATTTAGGCCAGCAGAATGTATAGAATTCCAGGAAAACAATTCAGGAAGTCGAACGGTTTTGAACTGCGCTAGAAGTTATTTTTATCAGTATGCAAATCACCTACCCAATCACTTACTTTCCATCGAATTGAAATATCCTGACTTTTTTTTTTACCACTTTTCGATTTGATTCGTTTCATTTTATATTATTTTGTGCAAGCTGAGCTCTTTCATGCGAATGTACGCTTTCAAAAGGAAAAAACTTCGAGGAAACGTTGTGTTTACAACCACGGCAATTTGTATTCTATTTCGCTTCACTTACGCTTATATGCAAATTACTGTTCATCCGCCGGATTTCGCTGGAGACAAAAATATCGATTTTGAATTCCCAAATGCTTGCCTTTTGGGGCACCCCTTTTATTTTGGCTATCAAGATTTTAAAAGCTAAGGTTCAGACTTTTCATTCCAACGTTTTAATGCGGGAAAGCTAGGAGAAATGCTCCAACTGATTTAAGTCACGCAACACGCTTTAAGACCGCATAACTTGATCTTTCTGTTATCTTTTGTTCTTCTATTGTCTCCAAAACAATAATGTCTCCAAAACAATAATGTTTTACCAATTTCCACCTACAAATAATAGGACACATTTGATTGACAGAAAAATTTGCATTTACTAGCGACGCGTATCTACAGGCGCGATTCCGTAATGGTTTCTTATTCACTACTCGTAACAAACCAAATTTTCGATTAATTAAATTTAATCTAACAGGGTTCGGTAATCGAACACAGTCTCTTAAAAAAGAAACATTCACGCAATCAAACTCGTTTTAACTTTCATCGTGAAAGTCAGTGCAGCCAGCAATTACAAGATCCAAGTTATTTACAATTCTTTGAGTACTATTAGATCAATTTACACCGATTTCAATAAATCTCAATATTCATTAAATATTTTTACGTTCAGAATTAAAATAACCAGCCCAGTTTACTTCTTCATGACCAACTCACATCATTATCGTCACCATCGTCATTTATCTAATACATAGCGCTTATCCAAAGTCTAAACCTGACAATGAAACCCTGAACGTTAAAATTGATAAAGACAAAAGATACATTTTTTCATTGATCTTGATAAATGTTTCCATTTCAGCACTCGATATCCAACTACTGATCAACTGGTATTCGCTTTTCTTGTAAACACGCATGGCTTCCCTGGAAGACGCAGAAGAAGTGTTACGATCAACAAAGTCAAAATCTAATTTTCAGCGCTTGACACGGCTTCTAATGCGCGGTGGTGTAGTACTTTTAAGAGAGATATTCGACTCCATTCACAAGCCTGCCAATCTTCCCACAACGCTTAGTGACCCTTCAGTAGAAAGGAAGCTGAGAAAAGCAAGGCTTACCCGTCCCGACTGGAATTGTTTGTACCCTTCCCCAGGGGTATACGGCAAGTCGAGTGATTTTGACATCAGTTTAACCTTCAGATTGTTAAGGAAAATATGCAAATTAAAGCCTCCCACCACAGGATGGGACAGCCTACCAAACGACTCAGACCACAGTCTTGAAGCAGACCTGGTACGAATAAAATATTATCGCAATGAAGTTTATGGTCACAGCAGAAATTTGGAAATATCAGATGATCAGTTTCGTGACCTGTGGGGAAAAATCAGTAAAGCGCTGTTGAGGATTGCAGCAAAACTCAGCCTTGAAAAACAAAGCAGATTGAAAGGTACCATTGAGAAATTCCTTCATGATCCCTTGACGCCAGAGGAAGAAAGATACGCCGACGAACTAGAGCAGTGGTACGAACAAGACATCGACAACAAAAAAGTGTTACAAGAACTTGTTCAGGAATTCAGAGGAATGAAAGAAGACTTTGAGGGTCAGCAAGTAGGTAAGTATTACTGGTTGCTTGTGGTCAGTTAAGTTAACCCTTGCGTAAGAGATTTAGGAATTCCTAGGAATTCTTACGAATATCCTAGGAATTCCTTGCAATGAAAGGTGTGAATTGTCACGGTAAATTCGGACTTGGAATTCCTCAGAATTCCTAGGAATTCCCAAGTCTCTTATGGATCCACTTCTGAATTACAAGATATTCCTTAAAATTCCAAGTTCTTAGAAAACGGCACTTGGAATTGCGAGGAATTCTAAGAAATTCCAAGCAATTTATACAGAAGTTGATAAAACTAAAACATTCTCAGAATTTCCAACGAATTTTTAAGAATTACTAAGAATTTTTGGGAATTTGTTTGTTATTATCATGCTGATTGCTCATGTAATTGAAGTAATAAAGATTTTATTTAAATGAATTGTCCTTATATCTAAGTGGATTCCCTTGATTACCTATGCGGGATTTCCTCGCGAAAGTGGATTCCCTTCATTACATATGCAGGTTTCTCTCGGGTTCCCTAGGCTTGCCCGTTAAGTAACTTGAGCCCGGTTTTCGGATCGTCTAATATTAAAAGGAAAATAGGAGCAATCACCTAGCAACGCGAGAAACGGCTTTCTATATCTTATTTAGCGCTCAAAATCGGATATATAAACAGAACACGTACACAAAGCAGAACTGAAAACTCTCTTTTTCAATAATGTCTGACTATTACAGAACCGTTTCCTCCTATCTATCTCAAGGAAATGAAAAACTATTACAGTCTCAGCGTTTCACGCAACGTTAGTTATAATTATGCGACTTCGCAAGCCCAAAGTTGAATACAAATTAGTTCGACAGGAAAAACCCCAAGGGAGCATCTTGACGTAGTAGTATAAACACAATCAATAACTTGAAACACGCGACTATTAAATGCTAGCAATAAAATCAGACAAGAGATATTGTTTTAAAAACTTTATTTAAACAGTGATAAACAGAGTCAAATACACAGTGATTTGTAAGGGATGGAAATTAATTAATCCTCATCTTCGTTCTCCCCTTTAGAAGGGGAAGAGAAATTGGTTTCAAACGTCTTCGCGTTTTTGTGTGTAACTGCTCCACAATCGTGACACCGACTAAAGCCCTCTTTCATATAAATTTCTCCCCTCGGGAATCTAGTGATCGCATATAGGACAAATGTTGTAGTAATCGTGCCAAAAGCATTTAGGACATTTCATGATCAATGTCCAGTAACATTAGAGTTCTCGTATTGTTCACAGGGACTTTTTTAGTGAAAGGTGGTTGACGTTTCAGGGCTACTACTTTCTGTTTCCTGACTGTCGTTTTCAGTGTCGTTGTCGCTCTCTTGGGTGCCTTCACCTTTAGCGCCATTCTCAGAAGCCACTTCCTTATCCTCCTCCTGATTTCAATATCCGATGAAGTATTCTCTTCATTTTGATGAGTACCCGTGACAGACTTGGCTTCGAATGATCAACTTGCCGTTGCGTTACCTCTTTTATAGCATTAGAAATCCTAATTTGAAACAACAGGGGCTAATACATCTTCAATAAAACCACTAGCCTCTTGTACGAGGACGCGCTTCTTTGTTTTGTAAGGGACATTTGGACTGGCCAGGTTAGGTAAAGCATCCTTATATGGCAGCAATATCCGCTTATTTTCTTCGGGGGTGGGAATGTGTCTCATGAGTATATTGTATAAGACTTGGACTAGTGCATGTAGTTGCTGTGGAGTAGCTGTCTTTAAAAGAAACTGGCGCTGATAAGCAGGGTAATCAGCTAACAGCTGAAGAAAACCGCGATTGTTGTTTACTACTCGAGATATTGCTACAAAATGAACTAAGGATGGCAGTTGGCAGTCTTTCATAGAATCTCGTAGAGAAAAAAAAATTAAACGAGTGGGCGAAGGATAGAAAACAATAGAAATGTGGTGGTGGTGGCGGTGGTGGTGGGAAGACAATAGAAATGTGGTGGCGGTGGTGGTGGTGGAGGAAAAACAATAGAAATGTGGTGGTGGTGGTGGTGGTGGAATGAAAACAATAGAAATGTGGTGGTGGTAATGGTGGTGGTGGAGGAAAAACAATAGAAATGTGGTGGTGGTGGAAGGAAAACAATAGAAATGTGGTGGTGGTGGAGGAAAAACAATAGAAATGTGGTGGTGGTGGAGGAAAAACAATAGAAATGTGGTGGTGGTGGTGGAGGAAAAACAATAGAAATGTGGTGGTGGTGGAAGGAAAATAATAGAAATGTGGTGGTGGTGGAGGGAGAACAATAGAAATGTGGTGGCGGTGGTGGTGGTGGAGAAAAAACAATAGAAATGTGGTGGTGGTGGAGGAAAAAAAAAGAAATGTGGTGGTGGTAATGGTGGTGGTGGAGGAAAAACAATAGAAATGTGGTGGTGGTGGAAGGAAAACAATAGAAATGTGGTGGTGGTGGAGGGAGAACAATAGAAATGTGGTGGCGGTGGTGGTGGTGGAGAAAAAACAATAGAAATGTGGTGGTGGGGGTGGAGGGAAAATCAAAAGAAATGTGATGGTGGTGGTGGTGGTGGTGGTGGTGGAAAGAAAACAATAGAAATGTGGTGGTGGAGGAGGAAAACAATAGAATTTTATTGCCTGAAAACCTATATCAATGCGCAACATTCTAACTTATTCTCAGTCTACATTCTGCTTTTGAGAAGTTGACATGAGAGTTGGTTCTGTTCTGTCTGCGAAAAATCTTTTAGTAGAAAAGATAGTAGGCAAAGGCACGTGATGTCTAAACATGTCTAAGGCTGGTCTCACCCCATTTCAAACAGTTCCAATGTTTTCAAAGAAATGTAAGCGGTTTCGCTTCGAGCATCCTTTCAGCTCCATGATTGCTGGAATGACTGGGTCCGGAAAAACGGCCTGGGTTCGATCTCTATTGCAACAAGCTTCAAGACAATTTACCCTCCCCCGGAGAGGATCGTTTGGTGTTATTCACAGTGGCAGCCCGCGTATACACAAATGTTAGTCGCCATGCCACCCACTGATTGATCTGAAAACGACTACCCAAGATAATTGTCGACTGCGAACAAAGGTCCTACCCAGTGAAGAAGGCTTTAACCAAGCAGGGTTTCAAGAAAATACTCCCCATGAGCTTCTAAAATATCTAAAGCAGCAAACTCTTTTGCCTGTTCCGCTTCCTCCACCTATGCAAGAAATACAGGGAAATATGGATGACATGCTTTCTCGAATCGATCTCCGGGACGATGAAAAAGCTAAGCGATACTTTCAGTTGCAAAACAGATACCTAGCCTTTTAAAGAACAATTAAATACAAGAACACGACCGGAAGAAATAATCAACGCTGTTCCAGACTTAACATCAAGGACACAAGATTCTTCGACAGCAACGACAACATTCTCAACTCCCCTCAACCCCTTCAACGTAACACCTGAATTAACACAAGCGGCTATTTCTAAAAAACCTAACAATGAAAGCCTCACCCCACCACCACCTTTAAATCCTGCCTTCCTGACCCCTCCTCCCATAGTAGAAACCCCATCACAACCCGAAGGCCCGAAGCTCAAAAGGCGTCGGATTCAATTTGTAACTTATTTGGATGATCATAAGGCTCATGCCAAACAGCTGAGAAAACGTGGGCATAAGAAATGCAAACCTTACAAGTACTCCATGGGCGAAGAAGAAGAAGATTAATTAATTTCCATCCCTTACAAAGTTGACTCTTTTTGTCATTGTTGTTTTTTTTATAAAGTTTTTAAAACGGTATCTCTTGTCTGATTTTATTGCTAGCATTTAATAGTCGCGTGTTTCCATCGATCCTTGTTAAGTTATTGATTGTGTTTATACTAATACGTCAAGATGTTCCCTTGGAGTTTTTCCTGTAGAACTTATTTGTGTCCAACACTCGCATAGGTTAACTGACTAACGGTGTGTGAAACGCTGAGACTGTAATAGTTTCATTTCCTGGAGATAGATAGGAGGAAACAGCTCTGTATTAGTCAGACAAAATTGAAATAGAGAGTTTTCGGTTCTGCTTTGTGTATGTGTTTTGTTTATATATCCAATTTTGAGCGCTAAATAAGATATATTTTCCTATTTTCCTTTTAATAGACGGTCCGAAAACCGGGCTCAAGTTACTTAACGGGCAAGCCTAGGGAACCCGAGGGAAACCTGCATATGTAATGAGGGGAATCCACTTTCGAGAAGGAATCCTGCATGAGTAATCAAAGGAATCCACTTTTTGCGAGGGAATTCACCAACAGGGCTTGATTCTAATGAAACATGACTACTACTTTCAATGGAAAATAGAAGAAAAATATACCCCCCTCGAAAAAAAACCGTCGTTGTTTGATTCCCCGCCAACTTGTTGTATTTACCCGTCAACTTGAAATCTTAGTGACTACCCTGTACTTGTACAGTGACCAAGACAAAACAATAATAAAGGCCTATGCTGTATACTGAAAATTCTACAAAGGTTTCATTTTAATTTCTTAATCAGCCACAGTTGTGATCAATTTATTTTGCAAATGTCCCCATGCAACCACTTTACATACTTCTTTCCCCTCTTTTCTCTTCAGCTTTGTCACCTGCGAGAATAATTATGAAAAATACAATAAAAACCCTGCCTGTAGTTAAATGTTTTTTTTTCCTCCTCTTTTTGGAAACATTTAACGTTAAGCGGAATCTTTGTTTACATTTTTTGGCTCATTAAAACACGCTAATAATTATCATTCTCTGATCAAGCTATTAAAGTAATGTCTCTGATTATTGAAAGAGCATAGAAATAGTTTTGGAGATATTCTCTTTCAACATTTTGCAAAGAGTGACTACAGTGTAATTGAATGTTTTTACCATCCAACAAATTCATAGGTTTTTAAGGCCCAAATTTCCTTAGGTATTGCTTGCAAACTGAGCTGTGAATTGTACAAATTTTAAACGTAATTTGTATATTGATACAGTGATCACGCCTTCTATCGGTTAACTTGGCATCAGCAAAGATTCGCCTTAGTATACTCACAGGGCCATGCTTAGGCAGATTAGAAAGGTGACCCATCCATATGGTCACTCTTGCCTTTGATATAATAGCTTTTGCACAGAAAATTTGCCCTGAGAACTCCAGATTATTATTGTGACAGATTTGGAAATATACAATACCATTATGTCACACTGTATATATTTTATTGATACTTTTTCGTAAAGCACAACCTTGTTGACACACACATAGAACAAAGATCCATATCAATAATTCCATGAACTTTAATAAGACTCAATATTATTCTAGTGAAATTACCTTTATGACCTTTTGGTTTTGAAGGTCTTTGCTTCTTTTACTTTCTGGGAGGTTCTTCATCTGTTAAAAAAAATTGTTAAATATTGTGGTTGCAGTTGATAAGGAATTTGAAAAGGGCTCAAATAAAAACAAAAAAACCCAGCCATTTTACATTAACATCTACCATTGCCACTGCATTGAAGTCAACAATTATGCTCCACTAAAGGTCTTTGGCCTTAAGTCATATGTAGATCCCTGGGTAACTTAGAGTTGAGAGCTTTAAATTCTGTGAGGGCTTCTGCTTTTTTCTACATCCTACATCGTTGCACACTTATGGCATGATGATCATTATGACTTCTTTCTCAACAATTTGCTACAAAGTTGTTTCCTTATATATGGATATATCAACTCTTAATTTTTCACAGCCCACAAACTATTTAATCAATATCCTTCAGTAAAGACAGTCATGGATTCAAGTTTTTGACTTTAAGACTCTGAAGCTTGTGTTTAAATAAGCTATGTAATATGTACCTCCTTCCTTCAAATTTCCAGGCTTAAGAATTTCTTTTCGCTCGTCTGTACTAGGCTTTTTACCCAATGAAAAATAGTTGTACACTTTTCAATATTGTGCAATCAACTGTTTGAGCAGCGATTTTAATATCAATTATAAAGGGCCTATATCGTGGTGAGAGCCCTATTTTTCTGAGTAAGTATTCTCAGTCATCTTTTGTCGTACTTGGAACTCTAAAAGAAAGATATCAAATGATTATAATCAAAGGGGAAACGAAGCATGATCAGTTTTTGGTCATTTTTCAATAATACTCTTGAAAAATTAGGCCTACACTTTTCAAGCCAAGAACAGTTGAGGTATAGTGGTAGAGTACTTTTAAATCAAACGGAACCATTTTTTCAGTTTTTTTTTTATTCCAATGACATGTTTTCCTACCAATTGCAACCTACTAAAGTGATCTTTTGAATTCACTGAAGAAAATCAATGTTTCCTGGGAGGTCCATTAGAGTGATTGATGGAAGAGAAATTTAACGTGAATGTTGCTTAATTTTCAACTTGAGGTTAGATGTTATTGAAAAGCACAACAATGTTAGCAATGAAATTGTTTGTAAACGACAAAATGAAAGCTTTGTGACAAAAATAAGTCTCCCTAGCATTATAATAATATTTAAAGTTACAAAACACAAAAAGATGTGTGTAATGATAAATTTTGCTTTTTTAAAAAAACTTTTTCTATCAATTATTAATGTTTAAAATTTGTGCTTTGAGTGGCTCACAGCTTTCTAGGAGCTGCTGATTGCCTCGAGAAACTACTTTCTCAGAATGTATTGTTAGTTTTCTGTAACCTCATTGGTCAACTTTGCCTAGGGAGCCCGAGTTACAGTATTTGCACTGTGATTTTCTGGCCAATATTAAGCTGAATTATAAAACGTTCCCTTAATTATTACCTTTCCTTGTAATAGGAACTGTAAGGTACCACTCCATTCTCTCAACAGAGAACTGTTTCTTGAAATTTTGGACATTAAGGGTCAGAATTTGATAAAGTTGGCCCCCCCGGTTTGTACCCGTTATTCAATTTCTATCCATGTTATCAAAGGCATGTACTGATAGAGAAGGAGACTATTTGATTAATATTTATTGTAAAGAAAAGAGATTTTGAGTTTTCATTGACCCTAATATGCTTTTCTGGATTTATCACAGTTCCGACGCCATCCAAAAGTTACCTTTATCAACAAATGTTTTTTTGTTGGCTTTGTTTTGGACCTCTCCTGTCTTGTTTTCTTTTCCCTCGTCTTCAACTAAGGATAATACTGAATTGAGTCATAAACGACTGATTCACAGTTATTTTTTTCCAAATTCATTGGTTTGAAATAATGAGACAACTAAATATTCCTCATTGTTGGCTCTTCTGAGAGCAATATCATAGTCATGGTGTGCCTATTTAGCAACTATGATATCACAATCACTTTTATCATACTTGTAATTTATTATGGCTTGTACCACAGAAGTCAATGAAAGTGGAAAATTCTTTCAGGCCACCTCAAAACTCAAGTTATGGTAAGTTTTTATTGAAGAAAATGATATCGCCTTTCAGAAAGCTACATTTTTTTCTCCAAGTTTCACTCACTCCAAAATGTTTGCACATGTGAGGCGACAGTTTGAATGGTTTGTACACCAGGGTGATCAACCAGTAATGCAACAAAGGAGGGTGATAAAATATTTAAGTTAATACATTTACATACCCAGTATGCCTGTGTTTTCATATGTAACTAAAAAAATTCTTTAGTTTTCAGTACAGTAATTATTATAATATATACCTTGGCTTCTATCATTTGCCTCTCTTGCTTTCTGGGAAAACTTGTGTTTTCTTCTGGGTTTTGGTTTTGGTCTGTGCAAATAAAGACAAATGCTTCATCAACCCTGTTGTACTCTCTCAAAATAATAATTTATATTTCACTTTAAGATAGGTTATTTTCTAAAGCAAAGAAATTTAATTTTTAGTGAAACACATGAAAAAAATGAAGTACTATTTGGTTTCTGAGGTGAGGCAGACAATGAATTACATTATAATTTACCTTCATCCTCTTGAGGTTCAGCTTCCTCGTCCTCCTCCTCCCCATCATCTGTGCCATCTACGACGTTTTTGAATTTGCTCATGTTCTAGATAAATTTGAAACTTGCTCATTTAAACTGAAGAGTGCACAACATAAGATGCAGCTACAACCCTGGTCAAAACGTCTTGGGACACTTAAGAAAATGAGACGCGAAAACACACCTTGCTTATTAAAAGTGTATTTAACCTGTTATAAATGCTTGGAAATGTTGTTGAAAGAGCCTGTTTCTGCTGTCCCCCCTTCCCCTCAGCAATGTTGATTGTGTTGAAAAAGATTTGAGGCCATCATGTCAACACTGAACCGGGGGGGACGGGGGGAGAGAAAATGCGTCATTTTCACCAGCTGTTTGGTTAATGTCCCAAGAGGTTTGGCCAGGGCTGTCTGAAAACCCCTTCTATAGGAAAAAGTCTTTTAAACGTTAAGAGACGTAGATAAAAGTTGTGGATTCGTAAGTATAGTAAGTTCAAAAAAAAAGTTGCCAGGTATTACTAAGTAATTTTTATTTATTTCGTGACCTGAGGCGCAAAGAAGAACAGTCTCGAATGCTTATCACGAATCTGTGACGTACTCATTTTCATGCGTCGGGAGTTTCCTTACACGTCAAAACTGTACAAAATTCGTAACTGGGAATGCCTGCATCTTAACCTTTTCTGTATAAGAAGTCATGTACTTTTAAACAGTCATCAGAAGTTGCTTGGTAGCTTAATTCGGGATGTTTGCGACCAGAAAATAACAAGTGTGCAAACAGCTTTAGCGTTGTTTTTGCGAAAGTACAGGAAGGCATCGTACCGTGAAATAGCAAGAGAGTGTGGGATTTCCAAGTCTTCTGCTGCTAGGATTTGCAGCGACAATCCTCCGCCAAATAAGGACGCATCAAAGTCAAGTAACAAAGGCGGGAGACCACGGAAAGTAAGTCAACGTAGTGTGCGAAAACTTGTCCGCGCGATAAAGGAGTTAAGGGCAAGAAACTGTAGAAACATTACAGTTAAAAGCATAGTGGAGCAAATTGGGCTTAATTTTGAAATGGCAAGTAGGAGAACATTTTCTCGTTATTTAAATGAAAGTGGTTACTCATATTTGCACGCGGGGAAAAAGGGCCTTCTTAGTGAAAACGACCGCAAGTTGCGTGTACGATTCGCTCGCAAAATGAAACGTGTAGCCGCGGAAAATCCCCAGTTTTGGGCAAATGAAGTGGCCTTTTACTTAGATGCCGTGTCCTTTGTCCACATATACAATCCGCAGAGCGGTGCAAATGTAAATAAATCACGGATATGGCGACAGAAGGGAGAAGGCCTAAAGTTTACAACAAAAGGTTCCAAGGACCTGCCTGGCGGTAGACGTTTGCACGTGCTCGTAGCCATTGCTTACGGAAAAGGGGTAATACTAACAGTACCCTATGTAAAAATGCACGGAAGTTTCTTCGCTCAGTTTATTAGGAGCCATTTCAATATAGCGTTTGGTCGGGCAGGGCCGAAAAGAAACGCAAGACGACTCTTTGTCATGGATAACGACCCTAGCCAGACAAGCAAGCGTGCGAAGGAGGCCCTAGAGGAAATTGAGGCGGAGTTACTTAAACCTCCTCCTCGCTGCGCAGATATCCATTGCATAGAAAATTTATTCAACCAAATCAAATGTCACTTGGATGAAGAAGCTGTAACACAGAATATTACAAAGGAGTCATTTGAACAGTTCACCGCACGGGTTTTGAGAGCCTTTGATAATTTTCCTATCGAGGATATCGATAAACTAATTTTAAGTACGACTCGCAGAATTGAAGCTGTACAGGCGTCCAAAGGTCACAAAACAAAATATTGACTGGAGTGCCTCGATACAGCGGTCCACACTATCTATTACATTTTCCGTGACTTAAGAAGTTTTTACTAAACGTCAAGGGCAACTTTGTTCCATTTCAAGAAACTGTGATGACTGTAAAATTGCTCTGAAAGGTTATTATTTTAGGAAAGGGCATTGCGTGACAGATACGTTGAACAGTTCTCCCCTTATTTCTCACTTGTCTACGAGGCCGTTTTGTTTGAATTATAATTCACAGAGAGCTATATTTCTTGAAAATAAACTCTTGTGTGGCTTGTCAATGTCTTAATTTTCTTTCCCCCTCGTTTCTTGTTAACATAGGCAGTTTGTGGCGCTTTTTGAACATTTCTCACTGAAACGACTATAAAAGATTAATTAAAGGTTTTGTTTTTTTTTTAATTTCAAGGTGAGAAATGTCGATTATTTTCACATATCTGCAGGAATGCGAGAACAAATACCCGTTTTATCACAAGGGCATAACAGAGACTTTCTTAGCGCTAAAATAGCGTTAACAAATTGGCATAATACCTTCAAAAACCACTTTTCTCTAGTGAGAAATGTTACTGATCATTACTGAGAAATGTCTCAGTGTCTCTATAGCAACGCATCGTTGCGTGCGTTGTCCAGAATAAACTTAGCAAAGCAGCGACCACATGGAATTAACTCCTGCTGTTCCTCGGGTGGTGTTTGGTTCCAAAAGTGGTAGAATATCCACCTCACATTCATCATACGAGTGTTAGTGATGTCAATTGCTCCAGCTTTAATTAAAACCACAGGAGCATCAGAGGTGGAGAAAAATGGGGTGTCTTTATTTAGTTCCAAATCTCGGCTACATACGTTTTTCGGGGTCGGAAAGTGCACTGTGTCGCCTTCCAGAGCCTGTCGAAAGTCAGCCCAGGCAATAATTTTGGGATGCCAGCGGAAGTCATTGAGGAAAATTACCTCTGCGTCCTCTGCTCCTAGCCAAGCAAATGAACCAGTAGCGGGGGTACAAAAGGTCTTATAAATGACCTTCAACGGAGCTAAGATAAACGATTTGCGCAATTTGTGTCGCCATAAATAAAGATATTTCTGTACTTTCCTCTTCCCTTACTCAAAGCCGTTGTTAGCGCCAGGAATGTTTTCCGTTACCTTTATAGTATTTTTATGTTCGCCGCGTTCTTAGTTATTTTCGTGTTCGCGCCTTTAGTGCTGTTGTTTGGTTCATTAGTTTTTCATTGTCCGCGTAGCTTTGTCCTTCGTGTTAGGATTTTTCTGCATATCGTATATTTAGCTTTTATTGTAATTTTTCGCCTCAGTTCTTCGTTTGGCTGCGCTTGGTCCGGTTTACAGTTTAATGTTTGGGTTTTGCTCGTCCTAGTTTTTCGTCCTTATCTCGCTATCGTCTTGTAAGTATCTCGTTTGTTTCATTCGCATTTCTAGATTGCCTTATTGCTTTCGTTCAGTTTGTAGGTTGTTTTATCTTGACTTTGTATTTGTTTCGTTATTTTTCAGTACCGCTATACTTCGTTATACTTCACATCGGTTCACTTGTTTCCCTTCACCAGTTGTAGAAGTTCTAGAATAAAGTTTGTGTGTTAAAACCTATAGCGCGTAAAGGCTGCGACTATATTCGTAAAGACGAGAGTTGTTGGACTTTGGACGATGTCTCATGTGGTTCAGGAAGCCAATTTGTCGTGTTCCGCCGCGAAAAATGGTCAAAGTGTTCGTCTTTCAAGTACCCGTTCGCGGAAGCCTAATTCTTCACTGGATCAAGAAGCAGTTATAATGGAAAGAATCCGAGAACTTAGAAAAAGAAGAGGCGGAGTGCTCTCTGCCTTGAAGGCCAAGCGTAAAGAAATTGACAGCTTATTAACGGATGAGAACAATCTTGAAGCAGTCAAGGTGAAACTGACAGAGATTACTTCCCTTTTTCAAAGATTTACAGATGCACACGAGGAGTATAATGCTGCCCTAATCGATGAGAGCCAAAGACAGGAATCAGTAGTTTACTTCACTGACATTGAGTCGAGTTTGAATTTCTTCTGTCAAACGGTTAACGACTGGTTGCGTGTAACGGAGATCCGGATTCAAGACCTTAATGTTACTCCCGATGACAGTGTCTCACAGACATCGTTCCTGTTAAGGAACAGGAAACGATCCGGTTGTGGTTCGGCGTACAGCCGTTCTTCTCGAGCTAGTTCCATTTCTGTTGCAAGGGCAAAAGAAGATGCGAGAATTGCAGAGCTTCAAGCCGAAGTGAACGCCCTAAAGCAGCGTCAGCTTATTCACGAGACTGAACTACGGCTCAAAAAGGAAGAACTTGATCTGCAGTTTAAAAAGGATCAATTAAAACTTGAAACGGAATTTAAGAAAGCAGTGGCCAGGGAAAGCGCGTATGCGAAAGCTGATTCAGAAAGGAACACGCGTGTGGCGTCTTCCTCGCTCACCTCTCGCGCTCCTCGCGTGGATCCGCGCGCGGCGGCCATTTCTGATGGTTTTTCTGGAGATTTAAAGCAGGAATCATCTCCGGTCTTCCATGGTGCCAATTTCAGACCTAAAGAACACAAGACTAAACACAAGGTTCCAAGTCAGTCCAGTTCAGACTCTGATGAGCAGTCTGGCGTCAGTGACCAAGCCTTTCACATCCTCGAACAGCAGAATCGTGTCATGGAGGAGTTTGTGAATCAGCAGCAGAAAAACACGCTACCCCGAAGACAGGTGCCTATCTTTGACGGGAATCCACTCAGCTACTGCACCTTTATGCGTGCCTTTGAGACTGTAATCGAGAGTAACGAGAGTGATAGCGGTGGGAGACTGTACTATCTTGAGCAGCATACGAGTGGAAGAGCGCGGGAGATCGTGCGGAGTTGTATGTACCTAAACCCAGAAGAAGGCTACGCTAAGGCGAAGAAGCTGTTGGAGGCTAGATTTGGCCAAAAGCACAATATCGCGATGGCTTATGTCGACCAGCTAACTAATGGTCCCTACATCAAAGCTGAGGACGCCGAGTCACTGGAGGGTTTCTCAATTCTTCTGTCAAGTTGCACAAATACACTGAAGGCTATCGGATACTTAAACAAGATTGAAGGTTCGGACAACATGGGAAAGATTATCGAGAGACTGCCACCTAAACTGCAGAGTAGCTGGCGGGACAATGCCGATCGTATCCTCAATGCGGACAAGAGAAAAGTTTGTATCGAAGACATTGCGTCATTCGTTGAGGAGAAGTCACGTGCCCTAAGAAATCCAATCTTCGGAAAACTTCCCTTCTTGGCTAAGGATAAGAGGAAGAGCCAGACGCGAGGGACGAAATCAAAACCCGAGGGTTCTGGGCCTGGTCCTAGAGAGCTTAGTAACTTCTCCACTTCATCTCACAAGAGTCCCATGGATCAAAACAAGTCTCTGGAGAAGAAGTCTGAAGATCTCTCGAAAAGGAGTTGTTTGTTTTGTCGTCAGACTGTCCAACGTTTGCTAAAATTCCCGTCCGTGAGCGTTACGACTTTGTGATGAAGCAAAGACTCTGTTTCTCGTGTTTGAGAGGGGGTCATCAATCAAGGGGATGCTACAAGAAGAAGCCGTGTTCACACTGTAACGGAAGACATGCTTCGCCTATGCACTCTGATTCTTCAGAAGATAAGCACGAGCAGCCGCCATCTGAGAATGCGAGTCAACAACCTGCTAGAGCCAGAGAGAACGAAGATCAGAACAAATCCCATCAAGGTGTTAATCAGAAGAGTTTATTAAGTGACGAGTCAAGTGGCGTAGAGCGAGTCTGCAATTTGACGACCACAGTGGGTCCTGCGACTGCTTTGCCAATCGTGCCAGTTAAGGTCAGAGCACAAGGAAGTCCTTTTTGCATCGAGACTTACGCCCTCCTGGATACGGGTTCTAATTCCACTTTCTGCTCTAACATGCTTTTGGATCGTCTTGGCGTTAAAGGCAAGCATTTGAAGTTGAGGTTAACTACGATGGGTACGGCAGAGGAGGTTGATAGCGTCGTGGCTAGCGGTTTAGTGGTGTCGGACTTGGATGAAAATGTTGTTGTCCCATTAAGAGAGGTTTATTCCAGACCTACTATGCCTGTGTCTAAGGATGAAGTCCCCAAACAGGAAGATGTAGATAGATGGCCACACCTTAGAGGCTTCGTCTACCTAACTGAGTTGAACTCTCAAGTTGATCTATTAATTGGGTCAGATGTCCCAGAAGCTTTACAACCGAAAGAAGATATTCCAGCTGTCGGAGGAGGCCCCTACGCTAGTAAGGTGGAGTTCGGTTGGGTAATCAATGGCCCAACAGGAAGAAAGCCAAGATATGTCCCTTCTGCTTGTTCCCTCACCAAGTCTATTGACGTCCATCCTATGTGCGTGGCGTATGCTGAATTTACGGGTGCGAGTTTAAATGACGGCCAAGGAATGTCTTGTGAAGATCTGAAGTTCATGAACATTGTGGAAGACTCTGTTATGCAGTGTGAGGATGGCCATTACCAAGTTCATTTGCCCTTTCGTAATCCAAGTTTGACGTTGCCTGCTAATAGATGCCAAGCCGAGCGCAGAGCCCTCTCCCTGAGACGTAAATTCCTTAAGGATGCCAGATTTCAGGAAGACTACGTTGCATCTCTTGAAAGCGTAATCCAAGAAGGTTTCGCTGAAAAGGTTCCCACTGAAGATCTGTGTAGAGCTGACGGAAAGGTCTGGTATATTCCACACCATGGTGTGTACCACAGCAAGAAAGCTGAGAAGATAAGGGTCGTCTTTGATTGTTCCGCTCAGTTCCAAGGGATGTCTTTGAATAGCGAATTGTTGCAGGGTCCTGATTTGACCAACAACCTGGTTGGAATACTGCTTCGTTTCCGACAAGACCCAGTGGCTGTAATGGGAGATGTACAATATATGTTTCACCAAGTGCGTGTTCCTGTGGAGGATCGTGACTTTCTGCGGTTTCTCTGGTGGCCCAGTGGTAATCCCGCTAAGGGTTTGGAAGAGTACCGAATGACCGTGCATCTTTTCGGTGCAGTTTCGTCGCCTAGTTGTGTTAATTTTGCCATGCGTCGAAATGCTGAAGATCACCAGCACGAGTTTTCGCCTGAAGTCGTTTCTACTGTTCTGAAGAATTTCTATGTCGACGACTGCTTGAAATCTCTACCTTCCAGTCATGAAGCAATTAAGCACGTTTGTGATCTGCGCAACTTAATGAATAAAGGAGGCTTTAACTTCACGAAATGGGTCAGCAATGATCGCCTGGTGTGAGAGTCCATACCTGTCGAAGATAGAGCGAAAGGAACTAAAGAGCTTGACCTAACCTGTGATGTGCTCCCAGTAGAGAGGGCCTTGGGTGTGTCATCGTTCGTGGAGGCTGACCAGTTTGGCTTTAAGGTGTTCATTAACGATAGGCCGTGTACTAGGTGTGGCATACTTTCAGCGGTCAGTTCGTTATATGATCCCCTGGGTATGTCAGCTCCTTTCATTCTTCCTGCAAAGCTTCTCCTACAGGATTTGTGCAGACGGGGTTTGGGGTGGGACGACGAGGTCCCAGATCTTCACTTGACCCGCTGGCAAGCGTGGGTAGACGACCTACCGAAGATTTCCCGAATTGCCATTGGAAGGTGCGTCAAACCTGTCAAGTCCTCCGATATCGCTTCATGTAGATCCATCATTTCTGCGACGCCTCTCAGGTGGCCTATGGCGCCGTATCATATCTTCGCTTAGTCGACATGGAAGGTCGGATATTCTGTTCATTCCTCATTGGCAAGTCCCGCCTGGCTCCCTTGAAGGTAACTACCATCCCCAGATTGGAATTGACGGCTGCTAGCGTATCGGTCCAGCTGAACAAGATTTTGACGAAGGAGTTGCAGATACCCATCGATAAAGTGACCTTTTGGACAGATAGCATGACCGTCATACGATACATCGCGAATGAGTCGACGCGTTTCCATACCTACGTTGCAAACCGCGTTGCCTTCATCAGAGAGGAATCCAGCCCGTCCCAATGGAGATACATCGACAGCAAATCCAATCCCGCTGATGAAGCCTCGCGGGGCGTTACGGCAGACGTGTTTGTTCGTAATGGCCGTTGGTTAAAGGGGCCGGTCTTCCTTTAAACAACCGAGACTGAGTGGGCGGACCATGTCCCAGAACGCGCAGAGCTGACCGAGAATGATCCGGAAATCAAGAAAGAGCCAAAATCATTCGCTGTATCCGTCAGCGAAGTTTACGCAAGCGTTGTTCGTATCGTGAAACGTTTTAGCTCCTGGGTGAATTTACTGAAATTTATTGCAGTGTGTGTTCGCTGCCAGAGAAGATTTCGATTAAGAAAGAGAGAGCCTAACCCGAATTGTCACGGAAATGTTGGTCCCCTCAGCCTGGAGCCTATGTCTTGTCAAGACTTAGACTTTGTAGAAAGAGAACTAATTATGTTTGACCAGAGGAATGCATTTCCTGAGGAAATTGAAACCATCAAGAAAGGTGGCTGTGTAAAGAACTCAAGCTGCCTTGCAAAATTAAGCCCAGTCCTAATTGGTGGTGTACTTCGCGTTGGCGGACGACTTAGCAGAGCTCCTTTACCTGACGAATCAAGGCATCAGATAATTATCTCCAAGGATTCTCCACTTGGTGTACTGCTTATCAGGTTCTTTCACGAGAAAAGTGGTCACTCTGGGAGAGAATACGTGCTAGCCCTCTTGCGCGAGCGATTTTGGTTGATTCGAGCCAACACAACGGCAAGAAGTGTACTGTCGTCCTGTTTCCAGTGTAAACGTCGCCATGGCCCCGCTGGAGAACAGAAAATGGCCGACTTACCTCGTTCCAGGGTCACTCCAGATCAACCCCCTTTTACATGTGTTGGAATTGATTACTTTGGTCCTTTCCTTGTCCGCCAAAAGAGAAGCTTGGTAAAGAGATATGGAGCTATTTTCACATGTTCGGCTTTGAGAGCAGTCCATCTGGAGATTTCCCACACATTGGACACGGATTCCTTTATCTTAGCTCTTAGAAGATTTATTGCCCGCAGAGGTCAGGTTAAAGAGATTCGTTCAGACAATGGTACGAATTTCACGGGAGCTGAAAAGAAACTTCGCGTTATGATCTCAAGTTGGAATCAGGCCAAGATTCACGACACCCTTCTACAGAAAGGTATCAAATGGCTCTTCAATCCTCCAGCGGCTTCCCACCACGGTGGAGTCTGGGAAAGACTTATCAGATCCACTCGCAAGATTCTTGGAGCCTTGACCAAGGAGCAAGTCCTTGACGACGAGTGTCTTCAAACCTTATTGTGTGAAGCTGAGAGTAGCATTAATGGAAGGCCGCTGACCAAGGTCTCCAACGATCCTAACGATTTGGAGCCTCTTACGCCGAATCACCTCCTACTACTTCGCCAAAACGAATCTCTACCACCAGGGCTGTTTGAAAAGAACGACACTTATTCCAGGAGAAGATGGCGTCAAGTGCAGCACTTGGCAAATGTGTTCTGGGGTCGCTGGAAACGAGAATATCTTCCTTCGTTGCAGGAGCGCCAGAAATGGTTTCGACTGAGAAGAAACTTCACTGTTGGAGACACGGTTATCGTTGATGAATCGACGCCCAGGAAAGTGTGGCCGATTGGTCGAATCACAGAAGTGTTCCCAGATAGAGATGGTTTCGTGCGTCGCGTAAGAGTCAAAACCAAGACCTCTACTTTGGAGAGACCCATTACGAAGTTATGTTTGCTGGAATCAATTGAACATCGAAAGTGTCTTGTTTTCCCGGATTTGTTCAAGAGACTTTGCGTGACTTTCACTGAGGTTACGTGATGTTCTATCAAGTTTGAACAATGAAGCCTGTTGAGGCACTTATGCCTTCGTGACACTATTTTTCGCGCAAGGAGTTTGGGGTTAAAGAAGATTATTGTTTTCGATAGTTAATCTTTTTGTGCTAGTTCCTGGCTCCTTTTTTCTATAATATTAGGTAAATACAAGCGATTTGTATTTAGGGGCCGGAATGTTAGCGCCAGGAATGTTTTCCGTTACCCTTTATAGTATTTTTATGTTCGCCGCGTTCTTAGTTATTTTCGTGTTCGCGCCTTTAGTGCTGTTGTTTGGTTCATTAGTTTTTCATTGTCCGCGTAGCTTTGTCCTTCGTGTTAGGATTTTTCTGCATATCGTATATTTAGCTTTTATTGTAATTTTTCGCCTCAGTTCTTCGTTTGGCTGCGCTTGGTCCGGTTTACAGTTTAATGTTTGGGTTTTGCTCGTCCTAGTTTTTCGTCCTTATCTCGCTATCGTCTTGTAAGTATCTCGTTTGTTTCATTCGCATTTCTAGATTGCCTTATTGCTTTCGTTCAGTTTGTAGGTTGTTTTATCTTGACTTTGTATTTGTTTCATTGTTATTTTTCAGTACCGCTATACTTCGTTATACTTCACATCGGTTCACTTGTTTCCCCTCACCAGTTGTAGAAGTTCTAGAATAAAGTTTGTGTTAAAACCTATAGCGCGTAAAGGCTGCGACTATAGCCGTGTAAATTGCGGTACAAAAATTATTGTGCCTTTTCAATAATTGCTGAGCTGCTTCTAACCACCTCCCCCCACAACCATGGACACATTTGCCTGTAGTTTGTTCTTGTAATAACTCGATCCTGGTCTTCTTAGCCCGGAGACACTTTGCCTCTGCTTCGGCAAATTCTTTCGCTAACTCGATAGCTTCCTCTACTGCTTTATTTCCCCGGTTTGCGATAAACTGTGCCAGAGAACTTTTACCCTCTCGATTTTGTTCAACAGCCAAGCAAACGAGTTCCAGCCGTGACGTTATACCCTTGTGTTGAACTATCTGACAGACATCGTAAACACTGAGACGCTCCGATCTTTGACTTCCTTTTTTACCCTGGCCTTTGCCCTTGTCTTTTGCCTTTCTTTTCCGAGAAGTTATTGCAGCTTCGGTCCGTGGAACCGCATCAGTAAGGTCAGGATGTCCAGAGGAGTGTAACGCTTCACGATCTTCCTTGGTGACATACCGGTAGGCTGTGTAGTACGAATTATGGTTGTCACTAAAATTCACTTGAACTCCAAACTTCTCGTCCAAGTAGTTTCGTACTTGAAGCCATCTCCCCCGCTTAGCTAATTTTAAGGCCATATGGTAATGATATAGATTCATCTCGTCTCCACTCGTACACTCATTGTTGTTGGTATGTGCCTCGATGCAAGTAACCCACTGTATTACTCTAATGCCAAAATGCTGCCAGGCTTCTACAATAGCTGACGAGAAACTCTCTTTATTTGGAAACTTGGAGGTATCTGCACGACTATACGTAATTAGATATACTATTCTTTGTCTTGAATGATCCAACGATGCCATATTCAGTTGATAAACAAGTCGTTACTGAACTGAACTCTCTAAGCTGTTGGGTTCCCGAAAAAAGATCGTTTAATTTGAATTCAGATTTTCGAAGACATCGCTTGACCATTCAGAACGTGCCGATTGCTCATGTGACTTTCCCTGCTTTTGAATATGGCCATAACGAACAAACAACGTCTTGCCCTTTATTGTACCACATTGTTTCAAGTCAGAAAATAAAACGAAATCTGACTTTCCAGTTATCTCCCTATACTAATAGATCAGCAAACCATTACACATATGTGCCTGTACTTCTTGTAGCGTACATTTTTCTAAAGGACGCGGAATTTTAGCGATCCGCAGTGCAGACTTGGACTTGTAGGCAGATATATGAAAAAAGGAACTGTATGAAAACACGGAAAATGATATAATTCTGTTTTTTTATAACAAACCCATTTTCAGACAACACTGGTCAAAACGTCTTGGGACACTTAAGAAAATGAGGCGCGAAAACACACCTTGCTTGTTAAAAGTGTATTTAACCTGTTATAAATGCTTGGAAATGTTGTTGAAAGAGCCTGTTTCTGCTGTCCCCCCTTCCCCTCAGCAATGTTGATTGTGTTGAAAAAGGTTTGAAGCCATAATGTCAACACTGAACCGGGGGGAGAGAAAATGGGTCATTTTCACCAGCTGTTGGGTTAATGTCCCAAGAGTTTTGGCCAGGGTTGTAGCTATCATGGACATCATACACCAAGTATTTCCTTTTGCTTATCCTTCTTAAAGAAAGGAAAATACTACGAAAACTCGAAAAACGAAACTCAGTGTACTTACCACATACTTTTAACAAAACTGCATCGTACTTCCTTTCGGTGTTTTGCCGAATTCGACCTGAATGGCCATTCCCTCCTTAAGCTCTTGCTCACCTCGAAGGATAACAAATTATCTGATTTTCTCTAACAATACTTGCAGAGTTCTCATCTACCCACTGAACCACGATATGAACCATTGCAACAACCGATATTTAGCGTAATAAGCGTAAAAACAACGAAAAAATGAACATACAAGCGATCAACCGTGTAACCGAATTCAAAGAACGGCGCCAAAAGAGGACGAGATAACGAGCCTTTGAGCCTTTTTATTTTGTTTCGAGTCAAGTCACGTGGATTTTTTAAACAATGTGATTGGTCATGAGTGTAACCACTTGCTTTGCGCAGGCTAAAGGGCGGGTAATGACAGCTGCGCGTCCAGGTGCAGTGAGTGTAGTATGTGGATTTTTTAGCAAAGGAAGTCCAGTCTAGTCCCTAGGCGTTCTCAGCTCGGTCAATGCTAGACTCTACTGTGAACTGTGACGTCACTGAGAGATACGCGCCGAGAAATGTATGCGAAATATGCCTCTCTGGACAAAAATGAGAAACATTGTGTTCATGGGTCTGTGTGTTTGTATTTTATTTGAATTTGCTGCATCAGTTAGTAATGCTAGCACCGAAACTGCCATATCATAAAAAGCTAGTAGGCACCAGTCGGCAAAGGATCATGGGGCAAACTATTGAGGAGCTCAGCACAAGTCAGTTACAGCAGGACCGAATGAATTTTGAAATATGAATTATGTATGTATAATGAAATTTGCCTACATCACCGGTTTTATCACTTTCGAAGTTCCAGCTATTGAGGCGGGAAACTGCTCGTTCCTGCAGTTCTGCTATGCTTTTGGCCTTAACATCGCCCTTTTCCTTCTTCTTAGACATTTTTGAACCTTAAAAGTTTCGAGTTTCAAACAGCGAAAGGGAAATAATTAACATTTATAAGTTAAAGCGAACTTGCAATAGCGACTCGTAGTTCGTACAAGTACAGTATGTGGCAGAAAACGGATGTCCTAACTTTCTTTAATTGACCACCAAAACTAATTCAATCATTGTTAGTTTGTTTGGATATCATTGTTCAGTATCATATCAGAATGGCCTCTCCATCGAGGCAATGCTGTTTCAGTATTTGTTTCTGTATCGTGGATTTTATAAAATTTGCGACTCGCTCGACGGGCGAAGATAAGCCCCGGGGCTTATATTTTTCAAAGGCCCGTTTTGAGGGATTTACTTTTGGAGGGGCTTATATTCGGAGGGGCGTATGTACGGAGGGAAATTTGCGTTTCAATGCAAAATTGATTAGGCTAGCCTTATTCTTGGAAGGAAATGCACCGTTTTCTTTGTTTTACTTTGTATTTGAGGGCAATTTCCAAGTACAAACCCCCAGGGGGGCTAATATTTGGAGGGGCGATTTAACGGAGGGATGTTTGCGTTACGAGTTAGGGGGCTTATATTTGGAGGGGCTTATACATGGAGGCGGTATATTCATTCACATTTTCTTGGCCGTTTATTGGATAACTCTTTTATAATTACTTCTCCTGGCTGCCAACTTTTACTGTGACTAAAATCTTACTAGCCGAATAGTCTGTGGCGACTCGGCGAATAGCCAAACTGCGGACATGCTGGGGATGGCTGAACGTGAGCCACTATATTAAACTATTAAACTATTCGATTTTCAAACCGCGAAAGGGAAGGAAAATATATAAGTTAACGCGAACTTGAAATAGCAACTCGTACTTCGTACAAGTACAGTATGTGGCAGAGAACTGATGTCCGAACTTTCAGTGTTTACAAGAAAGGTCATCAAAAGTCACTTGAAACTACACGCGAAATCTGACGCTCAGATGGTGAATTCAGACTAGTTTAGAATAAAAAAAATTTATCCTATCCAAATTGTTAATTTTTCACTAGGGAGTGGTTGCATTGCGTTTCAAACTCCGCCAGTTTGCGTCGAAAGTTGGCCAGGTCATGGCCTTCATGAGGGCTTGAAGTCATTGATCATGCTCAACTGATTCCATACCCCGGAGATAGATGTGTGTAGCTGTAAATTTTTGGTAATTTCCCAGGTGCTAGTGCAAGAAATTAATGTAAAATCAACGTATTTGCCTAACTATTGCTCCGTAAAATCCCCACTATCCGCGGGGCATTGGGGGTCGGGGATGCAAGTGACTAGTACATAAATAAGCACGAAAAGTAGGTGCTGTGGGTTTTGATTCACTCCGTAATGTGCATTTTTTTTTAATTTAGGTGACAGTTTCCAGCAGAAAAATGGCACATCTTTCTTACATCCCTCACGAAATACAGATATTGAGGGCCCAGATGGGTGTCTCGATACCGCACTTAAATTTTTGACAGCTAATTTTGTATATAGTAAATTAAGCTTAAGTTTAAATTAGAAAAAAAAATTGATTTTCGTTGCTTTAGAATTGAACCCTGGAAGATGTAAGTGACACTGTTAACTGGTATGGTTATTGACCTGTTGTGTGCCTATAGAACTATTGTTGGCAAACAAACCCCATTTTAGGAGAAACAGATGTGACAATGTAGAGCACTTATTTGAATTGAAAGAATCATGAACTTGGGCAGCAGTTCTTCTTTTCTTCCCTTCTCTCCCTCCCTGCAGGCTTCTGTTCTTGTGCCATGCCACCAGAGTTTGGTTCCTTTATTCTTTTTTCCGCACTAAGATTCTCATTAAAATACGTGAAAATCAATAAATTAGAAACAAAAATCATTTAAACAAGGAAGAAAATTAACCGTGTTAAAACGGCAGGTACAAATGTGGCTCTTCATTAAAAGATTGAAACCATTTGTATGTAAGACCATATTAAGAAAATATTATTATTTTGCAGATCTATAAATGCTATCTTATTGTAATCGTACTTTGTGCCTGCAATAACTTAAATAATATGCACCACACCCCCACTAAGCCCACTCCTCCACTCTTTTTCTGCCTGTCCCAATATAAAACCCACTGGGATCAAAAAATGAGATATTGGCAGATTTATGAATGAGGCTATAATATGCTGTTAAGGCTGCCTAGTTTAAAATTGCTGTGTAACAATAATGAAATAATTGGAATTTTTCAAATAAGAAAATATAGCTATTCAATTTAATTAAAGCAAGAATTACATTCCCAGGTATACAATAATCAACAGAAAGATTGGAATTTACCTCAATGTAAAAACAGTTATATAAATTAAATGAATGGCAGTGCAGAGCTGTACTTATTTTTCCAGCCTCTTCTGTTGACTGGTCTTTACTGATGGACTGTTTGGCAATGTCCTTGTGTCCTTTTTTACAGAACATATAAAAGAAGGATGAGGATAATACCCTGCAAATCATTAAATGCGTTGTGAACAAAACTCTTAGAATACACTTTTAACACGGAAATATATATTATCTTAAAATAACACATTAGACGAATTTATAGCTTCAGGTTTGCTCTAAAGGTCATTTTATTTCCAGTGGCTACAACTCACTTCTCCAGATATTCGAAAATACAAAGTCATAATTAATCGTAAGCTATAGTTAAGATAAGGAGGATGGGCACGAGGTGAACTTTCGAAAATAAATAATGTCACTCACACGCTAGTTCAAACGATCATCATGGCGCGTACGAAATATACTTTTCAGGTCGATACACTTAAGATGCGTGGAAAGCATCTCCATTGTCGAGTCGACAAAAAATAACAATCTTTTCATGAAAATCTGTATTGCTTCTTAAGGTCGAAGAGAAATTGTTTGGTTTTAATATGCACATGCTGATGTATTTTTGCTGAACAAGAGAAGAGGATTTACGGTAAATGAGAAATTTCTGAAATTTGATTGGCTTAGAGCAGTGGTATTTCAGCTTAATTTGAAAAAATTACCATCCTTATTCGGGTAGTAGTATAAACAAATAATAGCGTGTTTTGTAAAAGATATTTGGCACTCGTGATATTTCAAAATTGTCTCAAATTCCACTCGCCTTACGGCTCGTGAAATTACATATAACAATTTCGAAATATCACTCGTGGTATTTATGCCAAATATCACTACAAATCATGCTATTACCTATACATATACGCATCTTAAAGTTTGAACTTGACCTTTTGCTTATAATTAAGCTTAATCTTTAAAAGGAGCGTGATATTATTCGCGAGTTGCGTGGTTTATGAATCGCCGGTGAGGATCTTTTTATAATTCTCTCTAACAGAGTGCCGCTTAAGAAAGTATAAGAAATATGACGATGATTGAAGTGTGCCGGTGCCAAAATCAACTAAGTATGACCGCGTGAAACGTGCAAAATTGTCGACCTCACTTTTACCGCCCCTTTGTATTCCGCACATCAGTTGCAGTAGCGGATCCAGGGGAGGGACCCTGCCCCTCCCCCCCACCCCCCGCTTATTTTTGTACCAAAGTAAGGCCCGAAACAATTTGGTGCCTCTTCAAGAAGTGCAGTCTTCTGGAGAGTCGTTCGAAGCAATTTTAGTAGTCCCAGTGAAATCGTTAGATGAGAGTGCCGATTCCACTACAGAAAAGTTAGAGTTAAGCAACGAAATGGAAGCTGTAGTCAGTTTTCTGACGACGATCACGATCAGGATTCCGTAATATCCTCGGACTCCGAAGTTTCCGTGCACAATGATTCCTCTATGGATGGAGATTCAAGTGACAGTGCACAGCGCTGAGTCTGTTGACGACACCGAAAACGCCAATTCACCAGAGTACACTTTCAGCCCAACAAACGGCATGTATGGCTATTCTTGCCTTGATTTCTAGACATTGCTTAACGATCGAGGCTGCCAAAGATATCATCGATCTACTGAAAGTTATGATACTTTGCAGCTCTTACCTATGCAAACGTGCGAATGTCAGACAATTCGCCCCCGAGAATTACCCCTCAGAATACAGTATCACCTGAGTTAAATATCTTTGAATCACTCGTTTATTAAATGAACTGTCTTCAATCCTTTTCTAAATGTCTAGTTGTGTGAGTGACTCCCACCCCCTGAAATTCTTATTTTAACTAAATTTAAATTGCCCATTTCAAAGTTGCGTTGGGAACTGGGGCGAGTTTCGGATTCAAACTAATCGATAAACTGACACCACCATATAAAAGGTCCTGTTAAGGTTGGTTTTTGGAACAAGTTTGGTGCTCTAAGGTTGAACAGGGATCAGGTTATAACTCTTGAAACATGGTTAAAGACCAATACAACCCTCTGTAATTTTGTGACAGCGTCCCCCCAAAACCATACTGAACCATTTCTGTGATATTCCTAAAAACGGATAAACACAGTGATTTTAGAATTAGTTCCTCCCAAGTAGTAGATGCATGACAAATTTTACAGTTTAAAAGGAAAACTGATAAATTCAGCATTTCAAAACTTTAGCCAGTTGATGTTCACCTCTGAAAATGAAGATGAAAATAAGACTAGATTAGGGGCCTTGAAGATCTACATTGTACACCATACATGACAGGACTACAGATTTAATCAAGATGTAACTGGTCAACATTCATTCCTTCATTTTGCGTTGTTTTGACCATCAATATAGGACCCTGAAGTAGAATTTTCCTTAATCCTGAGAATGTGCAGCTGTACAGGGGACAGAGTGGAACATTGCACGCAAAAATGTACGAGTGCATGTGGTTTACACAGCAATTGACAAGATTAAATTAGGGTCTGACGTTCGGAAAGTTATAGTTAAAAAGGTTACTATAAAAATAATTAAAAACAGAAGAATTAATATGAATAAACTTGGGTGGGTAGAGCAGATATCTGTTGTAAGACAAACGATTTTTCACTTAAGTGAGAACATCCAAGAAATTTCTCATGTCCTTATCCTCTCTCAGACTGTTTTTATTTCTGGGTTATCGATAGATAATAATTATTTAGCAAGTTTATTGCTTGAAATAATAATAACATATGATTAAATTCCATAAATACGTTTGGGGTTTCATTTGCAGCACATGACATCCAGCATTCTCATAAACTGGTTTCTCTGGATCAGGTTCTAATCCTTTAAAATCAAAGAAAACGTCTCCTGATTCCTTGTCCCATGCAAAATAATTTATTTCTCCAACTATAACTTTCTGAGCGTCAAGACCCCATTTTAATCTTGTCAGTTGCTGTTTGAACTACATTCACCGTATATTTTAGCGTGGAAATTTTCCACTCTGTCCTCTGTACAGCTGTACATTCTTAGGATTAATCAAAATTCTACCTGCTGGTCCTTGCATATATGGTCAAAGCAACAAAAAAGGAAGGAATGGAAGTTGACTTGTTACATCCTGATTAAATCTGTTGTCCTGTCATGTATGGCCTGGTATGCAATGTACATCGTTAAGGCCCCTAATCTAATCTTATTTTCTGTAGCTACAGCAATGAGCCGCACGTTTAATTAACTTATTTTTTATCCGAAATCTTTGTTTTCTGCACGCGCACGCTAACGCAATTTGTAGATTTAACTAGAAAGTTCTTTCTAACGCAAGCTAGGACGCACGCGAAAGCGCCACGCAATTTTGTTGTTAAAAGGTTAAGTTTCTTGTTGTTGCGGTTGGTTGACGCAAGTTCTTTGTCAATCCATTTCAAGAAGCCAAGAAGTTTTCCTTGTTCTAGTGATTTTAAGGACATCACCAAGTTCTCACGGTGTTAATGGAAGTAAGGTTAAGAAAAGAAATAAACATCAGTACGTGAACGAGTGTCATCTCATATCTCATCACTGGAGCAATATTTTCATCTTCATTTTCAGAGGTGAACATCAACTGGCTAAACTTGAGGAAATCAGTGAAAGAGTCTTCTATCTTGAGGGAAATGCATGCATTGTACGCTTGCCAAATTTTAATGGAGTTTGTGGAGGAAGCCTCACTAAAGTCAGAGACACTGTGTTTTCAAAAAATCGCCTGTGTTCTGAAGCCGTGTTATTTAATTTAACCTGACTAATTATATTCGTCTATTACGATAGAATTTTTTTGGTCGTGTCCGTGACTGGATATGAAAACCAAAGGGCCTGTTTACATGGGTGGGGGACCTCGGTCTAGTGGGGTTGGTTTCTTTTGTTTTCACGCTCTGGGGGACACAAAACAAAAGAATCCTACCCCACTAAACCGGGGTCCCCCACTCCATGTAAACAGGGTCTTAGGCCCTGTTTACATGGAGGTGGGGGACCTCAGGTAGGTGAGGTAACCCGCTGAGGTGGGGTAACCCGCCTGTCCATATAAACTCTCATTTTAATTGGATCACGTTTACATGATAGGTGGGGTGACCTGCCAAGGCGGGTAGCCCGGTCTGCCAGACCGGGTAACCCTCTCAGCCGGGGTCAAATTTTGCCATGTAAACGTTTCAAGGTGGGGTAACCCGCCTAGCCGGGGTCGGATTCGTGATACTGAATTCCCGCAAAATTCACTATGGCGGTAGCTTTGCATCATTATTAAAGGTAACAATAGAAAGCCACAGCACTGGAGGTTGCAGCAAGAGCAGCAAGCGAGTGTAGAAGAGCATCAATCACCAAAAAACGTGGTTTGCCAGCATTTTTCTTGTTTACGTGCTTAGTGACCATTCAGTAATCTTGAGAAAGTGCACCCCGGGATGGCGGGGTTGTAAGATTGCATGTAAAGGAGGGTTATTCTTTCACCCCACCTAAGGGGGTTACCTCACCTATCTGGGGTCCCCCACCTTCATGTAAACAGGCCCTTAAATTTGCAGATAGTTGCGTTCCTAAAAATTCCTGTAAATTCTTTATTAAATACTTTGTTCTCGTATATTTCACAGAATTCCCATTCATTAACACACCAGATAACAATTCTCAAACATTCTCATAATTTCCCATAGACAACGCTTGTCAGTTTAGGCATTGTTAGGAATTCCAGATTAATCCTAGTAATGTGTTTCGAGATTCCCAAATGTTCCCAGAAATTCACAGCTGTTAGATTTATACTGATTTGCATGTCTGGAAATTATTGAGAATTAGTAGAAATTCTTAGGAAATCCTAGGAATTCTAAGTTTTTTGAGAATTCATTTCCATGATTAAAGGGATTTTTTTGCGCAGCTGAAAGAGCTCAGTTACATACAAACAATTTTGTCAGAGGACTACTATGATATATCGACAGGACGGGTTACGGTGAAGCGTTTATTTGTCCCTTTCTTGGTGATTGCTGACACAAAATCAAAATGCCTGATTGATCTACAGCTGAAAATGAAATTGTATCAATTCCGCGGTACAGTTTTTCCTGAATGTTGTGCAAGTATCGAATTGCCCTAGTTATGAACTGCTGTATCTTTTTTCCGACAGCAATACTACGCCTTGTGAACACCTTCGAAAGGATCGCCCAGTTTGGATTAGTGGCAGCCCCTTATGAAATGCAAGACAATCAGCAGGAAATTCCAGCAGAGGTAGACATGTGGAACGTTATCATGTCTTTCGACGACTCTTTCAGAGTACTTTTTAGATATGTAAGAAACAAGCTGAATGCCATTGTTGAACACGTTGAACTAGGAAGTTTATCAATAACTGTTAGATGTAGTTCGCTGCAGATCCTTGAGGGATTGTGGGAAGATTATATCAGTGGTCACCTTAATCAAGTGGTTCAAGAAACGCTGGTAACGCATGAGGTCTTAGAAATCCTTGACCTCGATGACTTGAAGCTGAAAGTGTTTATTTCTGAGGACGAATATGAGAAAGGAAAAAGGTCTTTGCGGATAATTCAGGTGAGCGTGGTGATTTTCTGTGGTTTTTTTTTAACTACTCGCTTGAGTAGGGGATTGCAAATCACGGGCACCCAACAACGGTTTCCTCCTAAATACACGGAGATCACTTTTGAGGCTATCTATAGTACTTTTAGATCTCTAGAAATGCATTCTAAGCGGCGCCGGCCTCAAGTAATAGAAACTTCCAGGCAATATTTGCTTCTCCGAACAGGTATTTTAAAGAAATCAGTTGTTCGGTGCCCCTGGCAAATCGAACCCGCAGCCGAGCAAATTCCCGCTGTTTTTCGCGGATATTTTTTGTGTTTTCTAAGTACATTTCAAAAACCAGGCCACTTCCCTTTGTGACAATCTGTAAGGTGTTCTTGCAATATAATCTTATCATTTACTTTTTTTCCAGTCTGCACTATATGTTTTATTGAAATTTTTCACGATAAGTGTAGCCTGCGTAGCATGGCGGTTTTGTCGGAAGCCCTACTGTGCGGCGAAGCAAGAAAAACGCGCGCAAAGCGCGCTCGAACCAACGGCGCAGAAAAATAAAAACCAATACAATTGAAAATTTCACAGCAAAAAGTGCGTAAAATCACTCTTCTCGAAGTACAATAAATTTTAAGAGAAGCTACAAAGGCAAATGCATTCCAGTTCAGCAGAAAGACTTCAAATGCGGCTAATTTGTAATTGAGTTCTTTTATTGAACCGAAATCTTGTTGACGTAGATGAATCCATTTGATATGAGAATTTGCCAACTCCAGGCAAATGAGCCATAAAAAGTTGATTACTTCTACAGAGCTCCCCTGCTGATGCTCGACTATTGAATAGGCGAACATCAGAAGGGGTCTGCGATTTCAGATCTCTATGAATCTCCTCATGGAAGAGTGACCGGAATGACGTGACAAATTGTAGATATGTAAACTTTCAGCACAATAGAGGGATCGTTCATTTTTTATCAGGTGGGGGGTGATGAGAAAAATATGGCTTTAAAGGAGGGGTAAGGAGAAAAATATTGGGTATAAAGGTTGGGGGGGGGGTCACCAAATAAAATACTTCAAGTTTTGCAGTGACGGCATCTGTAATAATGCAAACAGCCTACTTTATTATTTATGAAACTAAAAGGCAATTCTACCCTACCAAAATGCAGAAAAACGTACCAAATTGAACGTTTCATTGGGAAAATTTTTTTTTCACATGACGTCACTAAAATTCAAACTAAAAACCTATCGATCCTACCGAGATTTTACTTTCACGGTGCATTAGAGCAGCTGAAAACTGATTTTCCTACAAATGTTCGCTTCAAAAGGGTTCTTGGTTTTGTGATAGAGTACGCTTGAATTTCTAAGTTTTTGCGTGACGAGGCATTTACATGACGGCCAAGAGAGCTGTCATGTGGGTTAAAAAATGACTTATTTCAGGACATTTTGCTATCTAAACAGTTCAAGTGTTAGAAAAAGTATTACTTTAATGTTTATGAGTTTCTCGACGAATAAATTCACTCTTTTAGAGCAAAACTCGGTAACAGATGTTTCTGTTGGTTTCCGTGCGCCATGTTGGAGCTCATCTAGGTGAGCACCAGCATGGCGTCTCCCGTACAAATCTCTATAAGTTTGGGTAAAACATTTCTTCGAATACCTCGTATACGAAATAGTCCTCTGACCTGAATGTTGGCGAGGGTCTTTGTATATGTACCTCCTTTTATGTCCCAGATTCTGGACTTTATCTAATAGCAATCTCCATTTCTACGATAAAAATAGAAAGTCTCTGCCATTGCCGTTGATGGAACTTTAAGCTACCATCACAACTACTTCAACTACTGTCAGTAGCAGTTTTATTTGGTTACTTCACGTTGCGTTCGCTTAGTGTTTATTGTTACCTATCGTATATATAGCAAAGCAATGATGTTTGAGTAGTGTAGTGAGTCAATTCCAGTTAAAATGTTATAACCTAGTTTGATGCTCAATTTTATTTTTCTCCTAGCCCTAATTATTCATGATTTAGGGCTATGAAAAAATTTTTTTTTGAGGATCAACCTAGGTTAAATTTTTTTTCACCTGAATTTAATTTTGACCTGAAACATAAAAGTGTTGTTGACTTCAGTTAGCATTTGCCTAGTGCTGTGTATTTTTTTTTAGCAAGAAATGATGTTTTGAGCGGTGTAAATAACTGTCGTAGTATTAATGAGTCAGTTTGTAATTACGTTAATTAGTGCAGTTTAAGCTTATTTTCTTTAGTTTTCCTGTAGACTACCATCTCCCGCAAGCGACCACTGTTGTCTAGTACCAAGGGTGCTCGCTTGCGAAAGAGTTGACTGTATTTTAAAATAGAGCTAAAATAATCTTGTAGTATGGGTAACACTGTTTCGCCACTTGTCATACATTTTAATAACTAAGTTTGACATTTTTTGAAGCTTCCAAGTCTTTCTCGCAGTTCTCGTTTTTGAAAACAAACTCCTTTGCAACGTCAGCTTATATAGACAATGTATGTTTTTATTTATTTATTTATTTTTTTGCTTATGGCCATTCAAAACGTCTTTTTGATGAACGTTCAGTTATTCATTTTCCATGGTTCTTGTCTTTTGTTTTGGCGGGGGGGGGTCATCTCAATTAGTAGTGGTGTCTGAGCAGAATTAGCGGAATTTTTGGGCATCAAAATTTAATTAATGCGTCATGAATAAAATGCGCGGGAAACTTGTTTAAGTTCAGGCAAGTACAAGTAGTGACGTCACAACACCATAAGATCCGTTTGACAGTTTAGCAAGCCCATTAGAAAAGGCTAATGTCTTCTATTTAGCGCTAAAAATCGGATATATATAAACAAAACACACACAAAGTGAAGCTGAAAACTCTTCATCTCAATTTTGTCTGACTATTACAAAACCGTTCTCTCCTTTCTATCTCAAGGAAACGGCTAACTATTGAAGTCTCAGCGTTTCACGCGCCGTTAGTCAGTTAACTATGGGAATTAACAAGCCCACATTTGCATACAAATTAGTTCAGCTCAGTAATAACCGCATAAAAACACACACACAAAAAGAAAACAATTAATAACTTAACAAGGATCAATTGAAACACGTAACTAATCAATCAACACTCCGAATAAAACCAGACACGTTTTATGAGACACAAGAAATCAACTTTATGACCCTTTACTAAAATAATTGAAAAAAAAATTAGATTAAATATTCTATTAAAATAGTCAAAGAAGGCAAGCTATCTTTTTTTACAATGCGCACAATGTTTTACTTACCCCTTTCCCTTTCATTTTTATTTTCCTACTCCTCCACAATTTTAGTATGCTCTCTCCTCCTCCACCACCTCATTTATTCTATATATTTTTCCATCCACCAAAAAATCGACCTCATATAGACCATACATCGACCCTAGACTCAACTTTTTTTTCAACCCGGCTTCGTGAATAATGAAACTATATACAACCACCACCACATTTCTATCGTTTTTCCACCGCCACCACCAACAGATCATTTCATGAAGATCAATTTCCATGTTGTAGTAAATGCGGGACAAGGCGCGAGTTCTGTCAATCTCGTCTGTGGCAAGTCTTAAACTTGGAACGTTTTTCTTATTATTATTAAAAATACATTTGTTATGAAAAATATAAATTTCTGTAAACTGCAGAAACCGGTAGCAGCTACCAAAGAAAATGACGTCACATCAGCTGCTGAGGAAACACTTCAGTTTGATGATAGCGGGTTAAGAGGTGAGAATTTAAAGTACAGGGTGTCCCAAAAGTTCGTTCCTCTACTTTATAAGACTGTAATGTAGTCCGATTGGACTTGGTAAGCAAATCGCTAAAACAAAAGTTGTGTTTCATTATATAATTTAATATTTTATACTTGGTGTGCCATCTTGTGACTCTAATATTCGATTTATGTACTTCGCGCCAAAGGTGCGCGTGCGCGAGTACATTTTCCCGCCACATATTTTTCGTATTCTGTAGCCCAATTTGCTCAAACTCCTCAAACTCCTTCTTCAAGTTGTGTTTTGTGAGTATCATGAAAGAAAAAACCCTCTAAACGCAAAAACGTTCTGCTACATGAGAGCATAAGCATGTTTACTTCGATTTACCGGCTTATCAGTAGAAATAACTGCTGAAAAACTGGAAAAATCCGAATGTTGGGTTGGTGAAATGGTCATCTAGAAATGAAGGTTTTGAAGACAAAAAAGGAAGGGGAAGACTGATAGTCCTGAATAAAACGGCTCTATCCCACTCCATGCCGCAACGACTACAGAATGTGATAAAAAAAAAAAAGACGGAATGCTGGTTACTGAAATTCTGAATACATGTACTCGTTAAAGCAATAAACATCTTTGAGAAATTTCATGCCAGAACAAAGTTTGATCAAAAGTTATAGCGCATGAAATTAGAGGAACGAACTTTTGGGACACCCTGTACTATTTTCTTTCTGTCATAAAATATCAATGACGAAGGAATTGTTCTCGGTTTTATAGATACCAATGTATGAACCTTTATCTCCTTGTCAGGTGTGGGGCTTTAATATTATTATCAGTCAAAACCTTGATTAATTATGTGAAGTTGTATCAGATTCGTAAACGTAAATTGCAATGTTCTAATTTGGTTTCTGGTGGCAGTAATTTATAATGAAATCAAGGTAAATTTCAGGGGAAGTAGAACTAAACTCTGACTGAAAACCTAAAATTATAATAATTAAAATTTGCTCCTTTGTAGCTATTGCTGAGGTTTACAAAAATGAGGGTAACGATGAATACAACAAGAAGAATTTCAACAACGCCATTCACTTCTACGCTGAAGGAATTAAAGTGAACTGCAAGGATGAAGATCTTAACGCCAAACTGTACAGCAATAGGGCGGCAGCACATTTTAATTTGGGTAAGAAGCTGATTTATATTAGCTATTATTTTTTTACGCTGTTTTCGATTGGTCAATTTGCGGTCAATAACTTACTGTACGGACCACAGTTTCAAAAGCAAATGCTCATTTGCAGCTATAGATATTTTTATCTCTAACAAAATAGTGACTTAAAGAAAGTTATCATGTCTGTAAACGCTGAGGACTTGGATGTTGACTTCGTCCTTCAGTTTGTTTCAGTTGAGAACGAAGCTGATGAAGAAAGTGGATCGTAATCTCACTGAAGAAGAGGATTCTATTCGGTGATCGAAAATTTATCGCAGGTTACAGTTTAGAAAACAAGAATGGACTGGCAGAGATTCAAGACGTTTTGCAAAAGAAAAACGAGAAACTCTTTCGACAATGAAAGTAAAAAACGTTCCTGCACCTGATCTAATTCACAAGCTTCTTTGCCATTTGCAGTGTTTTTCAAAGACGAACGAAACAAGAGCCAGACACAGTGTCCAGTTTTCAAAAGACGCTAGCGGTTACATTTTCAAGCTAAAACTTACAGTGCTCTTAGTTTTGACTGCCGAATAACCTTTTTCAACATGCTGCATTTTGATTGCACTTTCAATGGAAAGCATTTGGACTGTGCTGTTATTTTCTTAAACCACACAAAAGCTTGTCAAATGACTGTCAAATCACTTGCCCTCTACTTGTTTCCGGTTGCCCTAAACAGGAAACCATATGTGACCCTCCACAAGATTTTAATGCTAAAGGTGAAAGCACGCGCACGACACGCTTTCACTTTAAAACAAAAGAATTTATTTTAACACGCCTTAGCACGCTTGCAATCTTGCCTCATTAGCAATTTCTTTTGTTTCAGAGGACACGCTTGAGACAATTAAGCGCGAGCAAGTCGAACAAAAGAGCGTGTTAAAGTTTTCAAACAAAAGCCCCATGCGGAAAAGCACAACACGCTATCAGAGTGAGCAAAAGCACGCAAGGCGTGTTATCTAAAAGCTAAATAAATTGCCTCTACAAAAAGAAACCGTAAATGATTATGAACGGCACCCTTTTTTGGTAACTATCGAGAAAGAAAAAGTTCTACCTCAGCGATCGCAGCGATAGTATCTGATTGAAAAAACGTTGTCGCTTGAAAAGTATAACCAGTGAACGGTGGGACCTACTGGATTTATGGGTAGAACTTTATTAGCATTGCAAAATCAAAGTTCTTTCCAGAAATGTTTACTGACGAAGCTATGCAAATGTTATCTTAACTTTAACTTATCTTTAACTTTATTATGTCGCGCTAGTTTACTGCGTCTTTTAAATGCCCATTTTACGTGGATGCACGAGTGGATTTGTCACCCTCCTGAAACTTGGTAGTGCCTTTTTGTATAGTAAACAAAAAATGTCTTTTTTAACAGAATTCCGAAATTGTATGGTGCTTTTATGTTTGATTATTTGTTTTTGCCACAATAATACGGCGTGTTTAGAGTACTAAAGCTCGATCCGAGAAATCTCTGTCAGTCACACACTGAGAAAAGAATAAAAGAAAAAACTTAAAAGTAGTTCGAGTGAAATTCTTGAAGGCAATCATTTGTTCGATAAAGTTCGGTCATTGAATTAATTCATCGAGCTCGATCTAAAGGGGTACGGTCAAGCTGCTCGAATGTGATGTCGTTTGAAGTTATTTCGTCCAAAACCTGATAATATTAGTTTTGTCGCCCAAAATTCACAGAAAAGTCGCCCGCAATCCTCACTCATGCGGCCTGAAATTTCACCATGCTTAACATCCTACATTTCCTAGCATGGTATTACCTGAAGGTTATCGCGCTTGTTTCGCTTTATCACCTCTTTGCGATTCCGGTCAACAGCCGACAGCCGAAGGAATTGGTTTACCCTGATTCCGTGTTAATTCCAGGCTAGACGACCTTTAAGTGGTGATTTTCAAATGGCTACGGTTACGATCAAATTCCAAAACAGTCTCAATTGGTATATTTGATTCACTT